GAGACATCACAACAGCAGAAAAGACCCCGGCAGGCACGACTGGGTTCGGCGGCGAGTTCGGGTAATAGCGGACTGGGTGATTGAGGAGGTCGGGAGGAGGGGTTCTCTCGAGGGTGGCAGAAGCAGTGAGAGTGACTCATTCGGGTGGGGGTATGATCCTACAGCATTCGCAGATCCATTTGATATTTTATTCGAATTTTTAATAATTGAAGTAGACCAGCAATTTCAGTTAATGCATTGAAACCAGCCGGTAAAAAGTTGAAAAGAAGAGCATGTTCTCAATAAAAGGGGGTAAATTACCAATGATTCGGGCTAAAATCAAATCGATCTGGAAGAGGTGTAGTTGGCTGTACAGGGACCCGGCCGATACCTTCGGGGCATCTTCCGACCCCTGGGCAGGCTCCTGGGCCTCAGGCAGTTCGATGTAGAATCCATTGGGTGATGGGAGTAACATATCGAGTGAGGGCTCTCTCGAAGATGCAAGCGGAAGCTCTCGCGGTGGTATTGGGGAGAGTCATTTCCAGAGTGTTGATGGAGGTCTTAACAATAATGCAGGTGAATACAGAACCGGGGGAGACGTGAGCGAACGGAGGGGGTCATTCGCAGATGCTCATGCTGACCTCGGGTCAGGAGATGATGGGGATAGACTGAGTCTTCGTGGTGATATTATTCAATTATTTATTACCCCTTTTAGCTGGTATCCGGTTTGCATGTTTAACGCTGTCACGTTGTGTCGGTGGGTTGAGTTGTGAAGTGTCCGGATGGCGTTTCGTTGTTGGGTTCCTTTCCACTATATGTCGTATGTAAAGGCCTTAGACGTCGGAACTGGACTGCGGGGGGGCTATGGCAGGATTGCTCATCCTGGGGAAACTGTGGAGAGCTCCTCTCGGCGTAGTAAGCTTAGGGGCGGTAGCGGGTCACCAGCGGGCACGTTGAGATTGGTTGAGACGCCACATCATCCCAAGGGCAAAGCTGGTTGGGCAGGCCATAACCGCTTTTGCGGAGGCCCCAAGGGACAGCATCATGAAGGGAGGTGAGGGGAGCAATGGAGCCGCGCTGTGTGGACATTGAGGGTTTCAGTGATGGCCCAGGGCACTCGGACAGGGTTTCATCGATAGCCGGGAGCCTTGAGGGGGACTATGCTGATGATGAGGGGAAGGGCTCACGAAGGGGATCCTCGGCTCAGTCAACAGCCTCTGGTAGCTGGAGTCTGATGTCGGAGGGTCTGCCTAGCAGCAAGCCTGGAGAGGTATTTCGTGGCGCGTGACGATCCCAAGGGAATCCTGTGTCCACTTTCAGCATGCAACCTCCTGTTCTATCGCGTGCTCTGCAAGCTCACTCAATCGTGTGGCCCAGGAGCCTAGCATTCCTCAAGCTATGGCCGTATCGACCTCCCTTCGAATTGCCTGGGGGGCCATGACCTGTACCTGTCCGGAGTGCACCCAGGCGGTGGCGGACTCGGTACTTGAGGCTTACACTCAGAGGGAGACGTGGACACCAGGAAGGGCAGTGGAAGTGGGCAGGAGGATGAGCTCGATGGTAGGGTGTCCATGAATAGAGTATTCGAACCGCTGTTTTCACTATCAGCCCGTGCACCACAGTCTACATGGGCGGCCATCGTTACCAAGTGGAAGAGTTGTTAACTCGTGTGTTCCCTCCAGTGAGGGAGTTTTCGATGCGCATACGAGGCACCCGTATAGGCTGAGGCTCGTTGGTGACATGTCTAGGGCATTTCGAGATGAGCTCCAGTATGGTGGATGTAGACGAGGAGGCGCCTGCCAGTTCAGTCACGATAGATCACACGCTGAAGTATTAGCATGTTTTCCATGGTTGAAATTTCTATGTCGTTCTGCAGGGCCTACGTGAAATGCATAAGTCGCAGATTTGCCCCAGAGGGCGAGATTGCTACTGTGGGGATCAGTGCCTTTATAGTCACACTCAAGTGGAGAGCGCTGATGCACAGTCTTGGTTAGTTGAAGGGCCCTTGGATGAGTAGGGCCGGGCTGGAGCTCGTGGGGGTAGGGGTCCTGGTAGGTACTCCAGGGAGCGTCATTTGGTGCATCAGTCGAGAATGACCACGGACCTTTTCACTGAGCTCCTAAGGAAACACTCCGACTATGGAGGTAGGAATGGGAGGCGTATGGCTCCAACGCTGCTGCTGCTGCTGAAGTCGAGGAGTGCACCGCGCTCACCAGGCCACTATGGGAGTGTCAGAAGTGAGTGGGCTTTGGTTAGGTTTGGAATGAGCCCTGCCACAGGTGTTGGAGGATATGATTAGTAGACTTCGTTTGGCTGAGTACTTGGTTTGAAGGGCGTCCCTGCTTGTATGTTAACTTCCAATTTCGTGGCGCGCGAAGGTGTCACTCGTTGACATCATCGTGTGGCGCCTATTGTAGTCGATGATTACTCATGTCGTGCATTATTGGCTGACCAAATTGCCCATGGTGTAATTTTACCATGGAACGTGGTTTACTTGAATAATTTCAAGTCATCTAGAGGTCTCGGGTTCAATCCCGGCATCATGCATTATCGGTTATTATTTGGTGGATGACTTCTTATATCATCATCGATCCCAGCACTTGTCGCTGTCTTCTCTCTATATGTATTGTATCAACCCTTTGCTATGCTACTTCATACGGGGAATAATTGTTTTCGTTCCTCTGGCTAACTCGATAGGGATGTTGGAAAATTTCGTCAATACGGCAAGCGTAAATACCCAGGTTCTTTCAAGAACAGCTCGACATTCTTTCTTGCTACGACGAGCACTATGATTGTATCATTCGTTGGCCTGACTGTATAGCATGCCCTCCGACTCAGGGGCCCTTGAATATGACATTGATGCGTGGATGGTTGTATTTCGTACCACACAAAGTCACCTTTCTTATTGATGTCACTCTTACCCAGTGCCGAGCTCAGGTGCTTACCCAGTGCTGAACTCAGAACTTACGATAAGCAATATAATAAACGTTGTATATGTTTTTCGCCCTTCGGCCGTCTCCTTGTGATTACTTTGGTCGCCGGTCTTTGCTTTATCGAGCTATTGTGTCTCACGAGTTGCCCTCTTGGGTTGAGTTTGGGCCCTCTGTGAATCTTGCTCTCGAGTGTGTGTGACTCAGGATGATGGTGACACCGGTGTCTCCAAAGAAGAGGACTGCCCCTAAGGGCAAGGTCCTGGCTCGGAAGAAAAAGAAGGAAGCTCCGGCGATATCGGCCGAAGAAACTGTTATCATTCAGTTTGTCAGTGCAGATGGTTGGTATATGAAGGTCTCTGGTGTGGAGTAGTCTGTGGTGACTCCAGGGGTTGGCACGGGGTCCGAGCTAAGCCTGCCCCTGAATACAGATCGGGCAGAGCTGCAGTCTCTTTTGAAAGAGTTACTCGTCTGTGATATTGCCCAAGTAAATGGATAGTGATATTTGGAATGATGACACTGTAAGTGGCTTGCCAGGTGCGAAGGATGAGGACCTGCGAGATGACATAAAGGACACTGATTATTCCTTCGTGTTGAATGATAGTAGGTCGGGCTGGGTGGTGGTGGTGGTGGTGGCAGTATTATGATGAAGGTGGCTTGTAGGCACACAGGAGGTGTCCTCAACGTTACACGCTGCATGGATGGCACTCGAGGCTGAGCCTTTTGCTGAGCAGACCCTCAGAGTGCGGTAAGTACGACGAGTTGCCTCCGGTCTGCTTATAGTACTCCGTGTTGGAATATAGGTCCTTTATTCCAACTCAGAGTAATATCAGCATTTTTCGATCAACTACGCATTTTTGCTGTCGTGTTTACAAAGAGTGTTAGAGCAGCAAAATATACGTAAGTTTTCTAATTCCACACGGAGCTCACAGAATTTTTTCAATCCTTATGAAATACTCTGATATAGGATCCTGTTCGCTTTTCTGTGTGATCAGCTGCTATGGGTCACTAAATGGTCTCCATTATCGTGGTAGATACCATCCCTCAGCACGTTTCCGAGTACGACCTGTGACACGATGCACATTCTCCATGACGGGCCACACGGACTCTGTACTTTGCGCTGCTTTTAGCCCTGATGGTATTTCCAGCGATCAACTGAGGCCCCATGGGGTGACGGATGGAAATCAGGTTCGAGGTTGGCAACAGGGTCGGGGGACTGCACTGTGAGGTTGTGGGACCTGTTCACGGAGACACCTGTACACACTTGCAAGGTAGGCTCTAGGGTGGTACCATACTGGGCTCAACCGGTGTTGGTCATACAGCGCTACGCATCGGCAGCCGGCATTGGTGCTCCTCGTTGCTTGGTCGGGAGACGGCAAGAGGCTGTTGTCTGCTGGTATGGACAAGACTGCTATTGTTTGAGATGGGGCCAAGGGCCAGAAGTTAGGGACCCTGAAGGGTAGGCGTGCACGAGGAGGAGGAGGAGGTGGAGGACCGTCCTTTTGGTAGGCCATACTGGTCCTATCACATGTGGTACTTGGCAACCCTTCCACCTGTTGGGTGATGGACAGTTAGTGCCCAACATCGCTGCTGGGTCGAAGGATATGAGCGTTAGAGTGTGGGATGGTAGTCTGTTGTTGCAGGGCTGGGCTGACATATTGTGCGAGTTAAGGTTCTAACTATACTGTGATGTATGCGCTCACTTCTCACACAGCACCTGTGACGTGTCTACGGTGGACAGGAGAGGGCTACATCATATCAGGCAGTCGTGATAGAATGTTGAAGGTACTGGAGTTGTTGCTGGTTGGTGATGATTAAGGACATCAGGCCTGGTCGACTAAGGATGGCCGTATGCTGAGGGAGTTCAGGGGCCGCGCGCATTGGCTTAATACGGTGTGCTGCAATACGGTAGGTAGCGAGGCGAGGCGAGGGACATCACTGAACTAACGACAGGACTATGTGACGTTGAAGACCGGGTGCTTTGGTGAGAAGGACCAGCCAGCGACGACCGAGACTGCCGTGGCTGAGCTCAAGGAGAGGGCCTTACAGAGGCGGGCTCTGTGGGCAGTTTTTGGGTGATGGTGTTCCGGTGGAGGTATAATAAGATGATCCAGCGAACAGGAGGAGTGGGTGAGAGGATTCTCTCTGGCAGTGACGATTTCACAATGTTCCTGTGGAGTATGGACAGTGAGTGCTGTTGGTGGTTGTGTCGCGCGCCACGAAATTGATCAGGTGAAAAACCTCTATGCCGTTTAACGGGCCATCAGAAAGTAGTCAACAATGTCCAGTTCAGCCCAGGGCCGGTATGCGGATCCTGATCCACGGATCAAGCACATGATCCAGATCGCTCGTTGATCTTGACGTCTGAGCCAAATCTTTCGTGATCCGAGATGCGTGAGTCAGATCTGCGATTCTTGATCTCGATCCGTGATCTTTGATGCTGATCCTTGACCGTTGATCTCGATCCATGAACTTTGATACTGATCCGTGATCTGTGATCTGGATCTCGCGTGAACCTCATTTTTGATCCTGATCTATGATTCTTGAGAAAAAACTTGATCCGTGATCCAAAGATCAAGGGGTTGAGAAATTCTCAGACGAATTGAGAAATTTCGTTGATCCGTGATCCATTCGGTCCCGAGGGATCACCATCTGATCCGGATCAAATATTGGATCAAGCTTCTGATCCATCAAAAGGATCAGTTTACGGATCAGTGGTACTTTACGCGTTAAAATGCCGTGATCCTGTAACGGGGCTTTTTTGCTATGTTACACTACTCGTGATCCGTGATCCTGATCCCTACACACTTCGTGGCACGAAGATTCCCTTGTAAATGCATACTAAGGAGATCCATACATTCGCACGCAGTCTTCGTCCATCTAAGGCTTGGATGAAGGAAGGCGGATGGAGGAATACACCAGACTACCCCGTGTCATATCCTCCTTCATCTGCTTGAGATTTTTGGTAGTGTAGTTTACCCCAAACAACGAGTTGATGTCGATCGTAATTTTCTCCCACTGCTCACGCTGTCGCCTGGCGACGTCGTTGCCGGCGGCAACTTGCCGCCAATATTTCCCCTGAGTATCTTTTGGGTTCCATTGTTTTCGTCGAAGAAAATAGAAGCGAAGTATATTTTTATCTCGCTAGAAGCGTCAGGCAACCTAACTACAATGCAACTTACTAAATTCTGTCTTTCGAATATGCGCAACAAACGGAGCGAAGCAGCATCGCTCCGCCATGATTCTTGATCGCGTGCCTCATCAATACTGATTCGTGCAAGTGATCGACCGTGATCGGATCACTGATGAATCGTGAGTCGTGATCTATCAATTTTAGGTCACTGATCCATGATCTACGATCCCGATCTAAAACTGACAGGATCATGGGTGATGTGATCTACGGATCACGAGAATGATGCATGATCCTGTCCCATGATCCCAATTTTGTTGATCTGAGCAAAAAAATCAGGTTCATGTCATAAAATCATCACATTGATCTTATGACGTGATTTTTTTCTCAGGATCACGCGTGGATCAGGATCCGCATACCGGCCCAGATGGGCGCATGATCGCTAGCGCTAGCTTTGACAAGTCTGTACGTTTCTGGGACGGGGTCACTGGAAAGTAGCGTTTCGGGATATGCCCTTATCCCTGGGCCTGGATCCTCCACCGTTGTAGGTTCATCTGCGCCCTACGTGGTCACGTGGCTGACGTGTATATGGTGTCGTGGTCAGCTGATAGTTGTGTGCTTGTCTCTGGGTCTAAGGATTCCACTGTGAAGGTCAGAGATTGGAGTGGTATGGGCCAGTGTGTGAAAATATGTGCATGTGTTAGTGATAGTATGAATATTTGGAGGTGTTTTTTGGGGAGCACTTCTCTAGGGTTGTATGATTAATGAGAAAAGTGCCGAGTTCAGCTGGTGAGAGCGAGCATATATTCCTCCACATTATCAGCAACGCATGCAGTTGACTTTGTGCATATTTTGCCACATTGTATGAGCTCATCCTCGTCATGGTGATGGTCAGGTTTGGGATGCCGTTGAGCGTAAGTTGAAGGAAGACTTGCCCGGCCATGCAGATGAGGTCTTCGCTGTTAATTGGAGTGGTGACGGCGCACGAGTAGTCAGTGCTGGTCGCGATAAAGTTGTTAAAATATGGAAGCATTGAGAAGACGATAACGTTACTGTTTCTCGTATTTTACCAAACGTGCGTTACGTTGTAGAAGAGTTGCCGAGTTTGTAATTTGTGAGAGGAGTGGTATGAAAGGTTTTGCACGCATGCACACGCGCGCCCTAGTGACCGTTTCGTCCCTCTGCAAGGTCTCCTTACGAGTTGTCGTCGATTGTCACTCGTTGTGTTGCTGACTTACATCTTACCTATGTCGACTCGGTGTCTTTGACTATTCGAAATGGGACGACTATTCGTTGCTGACGATTAGCACGATTTTGTGGCGCGCGGTAATTTATATGCGTTTCGTAACGAAACTTTCGTTAAACTAGTGCAGGCAGCTTGTTCTCACGAAGCATCTGTATTAGCCAATGCTGACTAAGCTCTTCGGCCGCAGTCTGCTTAGGACTGGAGGGGTCTCTCCCATCACCGACCTCATCCAGGTGCTCGGTGACACACACTGGTGATGATGGGCATGTTTCGGCTCAGGCTCGCTTCAGTAGTGTCTTGGCTGCCAGCGGCCCTGTGGTCGGTGGCACTGGGCAGCAGGATAAGCCGAAGAGGACCAGGCGTAAGAAACAGCATCGTGTGATGAAGGAGGGTCCGCATAGTGAGGCCTTGCATGAAGGGTGATGGTGACCTGTTATGGCCTATGAACAGTTACTGGCCTGCATCAGCTGTGTGCCCTCTCCCCTGAGCTGAGCACGATCGTGGGTGCACCTAAGGCGAGCCGTGTTGATATCACTAAGAAGCTGTAGTCTTGTAAACTTCAATGCTGTCCACACTGGTTTGGTGGTAGGTGGGGTTACATCAAGTCCCACAACCTGCAGGAGGAGACGGATAAGAGAAACATTAAGCCTGACGCTGCTCTGGGCAAGGAGCTTTCAAGTCTATTAGTGTCAATGTGCTGCTGTTCAGGTCGTATTATACCGCTGCCAGTGGTGAACATGTGTACCATGCAAAAGTATGTACAGAAGCATGTGACGAAAATAGAGGCGCCAGCGTGATGAATTGGGGCTCTTCTTCCGTGTTACGATAACGTCTCTACTAGATTGATTTATTTCATGCATTACTGCAGTGACGATTTCCACTAGGGAAGAGTTGGGTTCGCTGGGAGTTAGTATTGGATCCTGCGCTGATTTTAGCGCCCGCCCTAGTGATCGATTTGCCGTCTCAGGCATGGTGTTCTTTGGTGGAATTCATTGAAGGTTAGCTTTCTTAAACCGGTATTCATGTAAGGAGTCTTACATCAGAACCTCTGAAGTTGATGCTCAGTACAAGAGGCTTGATTTAGTTTCTAGACAGCGAATTTAGTATGTCCACCGACAACAACAAGAAGACTACATTGGACGGGTCCACGCCTGAAGATACAGAAAAGGTGAAGCCTCTCGTTAGCACTGAGAAGGTTGGGGATGTGGTAGTAGAGTGGATGTCGTCCTCAACGTTAGAGAGTGTGGTGGCTTAGGAACAGGCTGAAATCAAGGAACTGCTGGACAAGATGCGCTTAGCGCCCGCCGCGACCTCGCCTAAGACAGTAAGTAGGAGTACTATTTTCAGTGATGTTGACTCGGTTGTGGTAGCATAAGTTTTGGAATACACAACCGGTACCGCAGCTAGATGCAGACCCTGTTTCCCAAGAGGCGCGAGGTGACCTTGTTGGTTTTTTTCTGGCATTCTGTGGAGGAATATTTAGGTCCTATTGATGAGCTTAAAAAGGTGTCTGATATTCCTAAGGAGCCCTACAACCTCCCACCTGCATTCGAGTGGGCGAATATCGACGTTAATGATCCGGAACAGATCCAGGAAGTTTATACACTTCTTAATGAGAACTATGTCGAGGATGACGAGGCAATGTTCAGGTAGAACGTGTGCTAGTCTCAGTCGAATTTCACAATGAATGTCCATCCTTAGGTTTGACTACAGCCCGGAGTTTCTTCGATGGGCCCTGACCCCTCCGCATTACGTGCCAGAGTGGCATTTTGGAGTGAGAGTGAAGGCTAATGGAAAGGTACTGGGGCATTCTGCGGTGGCTTGGTATAGGTATATGCTGCTATCCTAGTTGGTGGGCTTTATTACTGGTATCCCTGCAACGATGGAAGTTCGCGGCGACGAGTTGCGAACAGCCGAGATTAACTTTTTGTGTGTCCATAAGAAGCTCAGGTGAGGTTGGAGTGTGTATGGGAACGCTATTGGTTTCATCTCAGGTCCAAGCGCCTCGCTCCAGTTCTTATCAAGGAGATCACCAGAAGGGTTAACTTGACTGATCGATGGCAGGTGATACTTGGACGGGAGCTGTGGTGAATATGAAAGAACTTGTTTGTTGGCAGGCTGTGTATACGTCGGGAACTATACTTCCACGTCCTGTCACTGCTGCACGGTATCACCACAGGTTAGTGTATGTCTCATTGACTCGTGCTTTATGGTCAGCATGCAGGTCTTTGAACCCTAAGAAGCTCTGTGAGGTTGGCTTCACACGCCTGGCTCCTAGGATGACTATGGCGAGATGCATAAAGTTGTATAAGGTAGTGGCGACCAAGCTTGCTGCCTTAGTGGAGGTGGTGATAGTAGGTCGCCGACCATCCTAGCATCTCCGGACTGAGGCCGATGGAAATGAAGGACAGAAAGCAGGTTACTAAGTTACTCAATGAGTAATACTATGAAGCTTTGATCGTGTTGGAGGAATCGCTGTGATGTCGCAGATACTTGTCGAAATTTAAAGTTCATCCCGTGCTATCACAGCATGAGGTCGGCCATTGGCTTTTACCCAGGGAAAACGTCATACAGACTTACGTAGGCTCATGGGTCGGTCCTTTGTGACATTTGTTGGAGCTCCTTGAGATGCACTATATGATGGTCGTTGATTCAGGTTCGGGAGGATAACGGAAAGGTTACTGACTTTTTGTCTTTTTATTCTCTCCCGAGTTCCGTCCTTGGCAACGAGAAGCACAAGTACTACTGCTACTACTACTACTGCTGCTACTACTACCATTCGTTTGTCATATTTGGTGTCTTCAGGACCCTTTTCGCAGCTTATTCGTATTACAATGTGGCTAACACTGTCAGCTTGAAGCAACTTATGGCTGATGCCCTTGTTTTGGTAAGAGGGATTGTGGGGTTCGACTCTGGCTCTTGGGTGTGATTGGTTTATATCCCGCTTTGTACCTATCAGGCGAAGAAAGAAGGATTTGATGTGTTCAACGCGTTGAATCTCATGGACAACAACGAGTTTCTGGAAGTAATTCTCGATGGAGTTTATCGCAGTGGATTTCTGATGCTATGCAGGACTTGAAGTTTGGTCGGGGTGATGGAGATCTCCAATATTACTTATACAATTGGAAATGTCCCTTCATGGAGCCTCAGGACATGGGCCTGGTAGTATACTGTTGTTGCTTCGCTCCGCTGTTATCGTGTTGTGGTAGGTCCTACTGTAGACGGGGTTGGTCGGGGTGTCGACCTTGTTACTGTTTGGTGTTCTGCGTGATGAGTCTTACCTGAATTGGTACAATAATACTACAGATAGTTTCGATATTCATAATGTTGAGCTGATGCTTTGCTCGTACCATCTCTTCCTCAACGCAGTTTCCTTTCAACAGTATACCCTTACATAAATGGGAGCAGTAGTGTCTCGCATGTCTGGCTTCTTGGAAGAGCACCCCAAGCTGAAGGTGGCCAAGAACAGGTTGAGCAAGGTAGTCCAGGTCCGTATTGATCACCGCTTATTTTGTGTTGGTCAGCTGGCGTCTAACGGTCGGTGGTTGGGAGGCCACATTGTGTGGACGGCTGTAGTGTCGGCGATAGTGCTCGCGGTTCCAGTCTTCTTCGAGTGAGCTCCTGGGTAGAGGATCCCGAACTTGACGATATGATCAGATACGAACGAGAGTGTCAGTTCTTCGACCAGATGAATCAACTCCAGCAGGCACAGATGAACGTGAGTTTTCATTACTACTTTTCTAATGGCGTTTAGAAAAATTATATCTGGAATACTATTGTCCATAGAAGGGCCTTATTGCGGATACTTGGTGATTCTCTTTCTTGGTAGGCTGCTACTGCCTCGACGACTGCGTGAGGACAATACAAAATGATGGTGATTGTGGCGATACCAAAGACTATTTTTACTGCCAGTATCGTTTCAGCTACATTTCAGTGATTCGCGTTGCTTGATAGTCACAAAGAAGCTAGTTCGGGAGGTACCTCTGATCTGGGCTCATTTCCGTGTTGATTGATTCTTCTCGCTGTGATGTCACGGAGTAGGGCTTCGGGAGTGTCCTCTGCTGCAGCGGGCTTTCGTCATTTCCGAGCGGGAGAGCCAATAGACGAGCGAGAGGCGGCTCGTAATAGCGGGATTGAATTTACGGTTTATAAGAAGTTTTCTGCTAACACTCGAATCACTACGACGCTCGCTCTACTGTTATGGTCTTCAGCGCCATCCTAGGTTCGGAATTGCTGTATTAAGAGCTCTGTTGGAGTAGTTAACTTGCTTGGGCGTGTGGGGTCTTGTATCAGTCGTATCGGTTCCAGTAGGCACCTGGGAATCGTTGAAGTCGGCGATACAGCAGATACACAATCATAATGCAAGTCATTTATCCTTTGAAGAGCTCTATCGGAATGGGTAGTGTCTGCCAGCTGGCTAGCAGTGCTGTGGCTAGGTTGGGCGGTCAGGTATAATCTGGTACTGCATAAGTATGGTATGAAGCTGTACAAGGGAGTTGAAGAGACAGTGGCTCTTCACCTGATGGAAGTCTCCAAACGCTGTATTGAAAGTAGTACTTGATAGTACCGCAAAGCACTTCCGCTGTTATGACGTGATAGCTAGTGCATGGGAATAGTAATAGATCTAGCATGGACGATATTCATTGAGTATTGAAGCTCTGGTTAGTAGCTAGTCGAGTCAATATCGGGTAGTGGTGGTCTATAGACCCTCAAGAGAGGTTCTTGTCACGATAGGTGCTGATGAGGACCTACTTGCCCGATTGAAGATCGAGTGGGAAGATCACAAGATGAGCATGGGGATGATCCGAGATATTCTAATGTGTTACGGGGTCTTTGGACCCTTTATGCGGTAGTCAAGACTTGTAGGTACATGGATCGGAACTACGTCCGGCAACATACTCAACAGTGTGTACCTGTCTATGATATGGGCTTGAGGGTAGTAGAAGTAGTACACTGGAGCTATCGGGGAGCTACTTGTGTTGTTAACTCTCTCAGTTGTTCCGAGACACTGTCATAGGCGATGCACGAGTCAGAGGGAGAGCCATCGGACAGGTGGTACTTCTAGTAGTTATAGTAATTCACGAGGGGGGAGGTCTCAGATCCTTGCGGAACTCCGTCGTGAACTCCATGGTGAGACGATAACAGACCCGCAGCTCGTCAAGAGCGCCCTGTCCATGCTTGTGGAGCTCTCCGATATACAGACTTTATCTGGGCACACTGAAACAGGTATTGAACAATGCAGTCGCTGGGAAACGAACCTGGGGTCTTTGTAGGCTACCGAGCTGAACAATTCTTGCACGCCTCCTCGCCATCGGTTTCTGATAGGGATAGTAACATCAGTGGTGGCGGAGGGTCTCCACTCGCAGATAGCGAAAACGTCTACTATTCTTGGTTCGAGGTCAACTACTTAGCGCTCATACGAGACTTCTACACTCAAGAGGTGGGTCAAAAATGTGAGCGGAGCGAAGCTGGTTGATATGTCCATAATCAGGCCAACGAGTACATAGAACGACATACAGTAGGAGAGTATCTCGAGAAGGCTGATAGCAGAATGCGACAGGAGAGGGAGCGAGTTGAAACTTATATGGATCGAACTCTGACTATGGCTAAGGTAGGCAAGCGCGATCGGTGGAGGTCGGTGTCGTCAAGGCCCCCTCATCGTTATAGTGTGGACCCCTCGCACAGGTTGTTGTTGTCGCGGGGTTGTCATTTGAGGCTTGATTTCCCACAGGTGCAAGAGGTTCTCGATTCTGTATGGATTGGTCGTCACTATAAGATGCTGATACAACAGGAGAGTAGTGGTTGTAAGGTCATGTTTGCTGAGGCCAGGTGAGGAGGTTCCTGCTGCTGCTGCTATCGGAAGGGCATCTCCCTCTCTTAGAGTGTCCGAACTTCGCTTGATGTACTCCCTTTTTTCTCGTATACCCGAGACCCTCACTGACATAGCGGAGATCATGCAGCAGAGCATTGGTGCAGCGAGTGAGGGGCAGTCGTGTTGGATCCTTTGCATATAACTTCCGTTATAGTCGCCGATTTGATCGCTGACGAAGCCACCGTCAACGCGCCTGTGTGTTTCGTAGAGAAGTTGTTGGCTCTGCGACAAAAGTGAGATAGTTACTATTCCTCTATTCTGGAAGGGTATGTTTCGCTGCATGAGGCAGGTTCGAGGGGATTGTGTCCCAAGCCTTCCGAGGCTCCCTGGAATTCTCCAACCAGATGAAGGTGGCCTTCGAGAAATCACTCAACAACAGCCCGAAATGCGCTTACTACTTGAGTCTATACTTGGATGAATTATTGCGGAAAAGGTAACCGATCCGCTACCCCACCACTATCCTCGGATGCTTCTGTGCATGCTTCTCTTCGAGGGTGAATCATCGTTCTATTTGGTCCTGGCAACTCCTGTGGAGGTGTGAGAGTGTTCGTTGTCTGTCAGGTTGAAAGACATGACAGATGCAGAATTCCACTCTAACGTGGACCAGGTCATTAGCGTATTCCGGTATGTCGATATGAGTGCCAGCTTCGCTCCGCTGTGTTTTTCGAACTTCCTTTATGTTCAGATACCTTATTGACAAGGACGTTTTCGAATCCTATTACCGAACTAGCTTGTGTCGGCGTCTACTCAATTCTAAGTACGAGTCTGATTCACTCTGTCATATTCGTCATTACGGATCTCCCAGGCCGTCGTCAGCGAATGTGGAAGAAGCAGAGAAGTTAGTAGTGAGTAAACTGAGGGCCGAGGTAAGTCAGGCAAGCATTGAAGCACTTGATGATGTGCTTGGTTTAGTGTGGGCAGCAGTACACCTCTAAGTTGGAGGGAATGTTGAAGGACGTCAGTCTGAGTCGAGTAAGGCAATCTCATGTGATGGTATGAGGGCTGGGCTTCAGGACACGAGTCGTAGCTACAGTCAGTCTTTGTCGTCGTCCGCCTCGCTCATGCATGGACCGTCCCAAACTCATTGTGAGCTAGATGTGAAGGTGAGGGGGTGTATGCGTTTCGAGCTGTATTAGGCGCGTACGTTTACAGTGTGTCGCTTGCTCAGGTCTGTACTTCTGGTTTTTGGCCGACCCATTCCCCTCCGGGATGTGAGATACCTGTTGAAATGAAATGCCTGATCGATCGGTGAGCAGCCACAGGGTCCCCCTATCGCACCAAACATCACCACTGGCAGATTTGAAACATTCTATCTGTCGAAGCACAGTGGCAGAAGACTTACTTGGATGTTCAACTACGGAACCGGTAGGCTTCGTTGTTTTGACCATGGCTGTGATCAGAAGCAATCGGCATTTGCGGGACCTGCTAGTGGTCCACCCGATCTCGGGCTAGCGAAATCATCCAGGCCATATGGGGTCTCTTCTGAGTGCGATCGTTGTTGTGCTTCAGCGGATGTCCGGAGTAGAGTGGGACGCCATCCATATGTCCTCACTGTCAGTACTTACCAAGCGATGATACTACTCTTGTTCAATTCGTCTGATGCACTGAGGTAGGGTCGTTCAGGGTTTCTCTGTCTCAGCAACACACGATGTCTGAGTCAGTTACGAGCTGATAAGATCTTCGTTGAACTGTGGGAGAGGGGATGATCCCAGCGTGGATGAGAGGTCCGAGCGAGAAGACAATGCCGAGATCAAGAGGCATCTTATGAGCCTATACGTGAATCCAAAAGTTCGGTGAGAAACGTCAGTAATGGTAGCCGATATAATGGAGCACCACCACGTTCACAGAGTGCTGTTGCGAGAGAGCCTCAATGCGTCCAAGGAGCCCACTGCCGGTGATATCTTCCGCGTCAATGCTGAATTCGAGTCGCGTGTCCGAAGCGTGAAGGTGCGTAACTCGAACTGACTCTGTATCGCTAGTTAATGCTCAACATCCTCAGGTACCATTGATAGCCCTGGCTAACAGCTCCACTAGTAGAGGTGAGTTCTTCTCAAGATGGTTGTTGTCAGTCATAACGTTTTGCCAGATGCAGGCGGGGGGTCTGCGTCCAGTGTGGAAGTTGGAAGTGCAGTACCCCAGGCTGTTGAGGAAGATCGGAAGCACATTGTAGAGGCCGTACTGGTAAGGGTACATTAATGAAATGACCACATTTGCCTCTGTGATTATGTAAGGTACGCATCATGAAGAGCAGGAAGCAGCTGGATCACAACTCGCTAGTCGTCGAGGCTACCAGACAGTTATCGCAGAGGCAAGGCTCCTCCGTCTTCCTCCAGTGGGGGGTTAATGGACGGCGCGGTTGTTTAGGTTCCTGCCAGCTCCCCAGCTCATAAAGCAGCGAATTGAACATTTGATTGAGCGGGAATTCCTTGAACGCTGTCCTCATGATCATAAGACGTACAATTATTTGGCCTGAAATCTTAACCGTGTTGGTAACTGTCCAGACAGATGGTTCAGCACCAATCCTGTTGCTGTGAAAAGCAGTGGTCACAGTAGCATATATAATAACTATAGTAGCCATACTTTATCATTGCATAGATCCTTCCTCCTGCAGACTCGGTACTTGAGTTGAAATGAGTTGAGTCGAGCCTGAGCGGACAATCTTCGATGAGCACTGGGCAGGGCGGAGGAGATCAGTGGACGGGGTCAGACGCTATTATCTTGAATATGACCCATGTATGAATAATATTTTGCCGCTCACGTGTAGGCTAAGCCTACTAGGCTTTTACCCGTGACACTCACGAAGAGCGAGTTGTGAGAGGTGTCAAGGTTGATAGGAACTTCGGACTTGGTTGTGGGGATCATTGTATCAGCTCACATGCGTGCACTTAGAGTGGGTCGATCTCTCCAATACGATACGTAACGTCTTTCTAGTGTATCGATTGCAGAGGGGTCAGTAGGAATCGGTCGAGTACTGCATTAAACGCTGTCCATCAGAAAAATAATTTAGGTCCTGTCTGTTTTATGCCCTCGCTATCAGAAAAATAATTCGGAAACTTTTTCTTATCACCCCTGGCCATGAGTGTAGCCGGATCAGGGGGGTAAAAGGTTTGAAAGCTTGAGATAACATCAGTCGCTTACACCTGCTCTCCGTCTTATCGTTCAGTGAGCGATTTGCTCCGGTTTGTCGTTCCACGGAGCCCTCGACATCCTTCCACACCCAGCGGTTTCCCTCTGCGATTAATCCTCACCGGTTCTATTCAGCATCGATCAGAATATAGAGAGTGGTGCCCATTCTGCAGTCATGGACTCGTTGTTGATTGTTGATATCCTTCGCGAACTCCCCAATAAGGCTGCCGCATTCTTGGTCAACCGTCGCCGCTCTATCGGCGTCACTGCCTCCTGGATAGCTGTGGTAGCCGCCATATGCACCTACCGGGCCATCAAGCGACGCAGACGTCGAGTATCGCTCATCGACAAGCTGGGTGGAACTACTGGGGTGAGTGTAGCTGTCCTCTCGGTCCGACCGCGGTTATTGCCATTACGGATATCCTTAATGGTGTTCCAATCGGAAGTCGCTCATGATCGTGGAATGACTTCTTTCAGCGCATCCCCTTCTTGGGATTCGTTCCGAAGTCAATCGAGCACTTCCTCTACGGACTCGAGATCCTGGCCGATACGTATGGCGATGTTTTCGCGACGAAGTAGTTCGTTCATATGCACTATGAAACTGCCTATTCGACCACGCTGATCACGACGACTGTCTATTTTAGAATTATAGGCAGAGATGTGGTCGTCTTGACGGATGCCGAGGCGATAAGAGGAGTTCTCAAAGAGCGTCCCCATAGCCTCATTAGATTAGTCAATAGGAGCAAGCTGTTGCCGATCTCTGGCATGTTCACTTCCGAGGGAGAGGATTGGAAACGCAGCAGGAGACTGGCAGCACCGGCATTGAATGCACATCACTCTGCACAGATGGTGCCGGCGATGGCTGTCGTCGGCAAGAGACTAGTGACTCCGCCATCGCTCCGCTGTCCTATGAGATCGCTCCCAGGTCAGACAACTGCGAGGTTTAGCTTGTGATGGTAGAGTTGTGTGGGAGCCGACCAGCTGGTTCATGATGTGCACCCTCGACATCTTATGCCTCACTGCGTTTGGTATGGATTCCTTCTTCCTCAATCCTGATGGTGAGCAAGTGATTCCGTCAGCAATTCGTCTCCGTCTTGTTCAGGCATTCATGTGGGCTCCAAACCTCAGGAGATTGCTCAGGCGATAACGGATTTTGTCGAAGGTTTAACTTATATTTTGCAGTTTGCAGCCTTCCCATTCTTCACTCGAAACGTCTTCCCTTGGAATTTGAACCCAATGATGAGGAAGGTAGGACCACATCCCCTACGGTGGAATCTCTACCGGTTGTTCTCAGTAGATTCCTGAAGATGACAATCATTGATCAGTTCCACGTGAGCGTCGAGCGTCTGAATAATTTCGCGGATGAGATTGCGATGCAGCGGAGAGCAGCAGTGAGCGAATCTAGGCAAGCAGATCTACTTAGCAAGCTGCTTCATATGGACAAGCAAGACCTCCAAGGGAACCTCGTGACGTAAATTGAACCCCACTGCGATAATCATCTGATTAGCTCCGTGTTTGCTGAAGATTCTTCCTCGCTGGCAGTGAGACTACAGCGACCACTCTCTCCTGGTGCCTCTATTACTTCTGTCTCTACCCCGATGTTCAAGCGAGAGCTCGAGCCGAGGTGGACACCCTAGGCCGCGATCCGGAAACCGACGACGACCTCGAGAGACTACCCTTCGTGGAAAGTTGCATACTCGAGGCTCTGCGGGTGAGCGTTTGTATTTTCTTTTGCTCTTCTCCTAAATCTGTTCATTAGCTACAACCTGCAGCCCCCTTACTGGTGCACGAATGCACAGCCGATGTATCAGTATGTGGTTTCCATTTGCCCACGGGAACTCGAATAGTATCTCTTTTGCGCAAGCGGATGCGAAGCAGCGCTGAGGGTGGCACCTCTTTCCGGTGAGTTCATCGGAAGTATCAGACTGGAGGACTCTATTTTTCCGCACATTTCCCTCCAAATGTGAGTGAGGACTATAGCGAAGATTCAACAATGCATGTGGAACCGCAAACGCAGAAATATCACATTACACCCTTGAAAGGTGATCTTTCCAATAATGAGTTTGACAAATTTGCAAATACAACTTGGGCTTCAAGAAATACAAGCGCAAGTCCATGGCACACCAGACCATTTTGGACCATAGGAACTCCTATCTGCGTCCATGTATAACATTATCGTTTTTCCAGGCCGCAACGCTGGTTACGCTCTGATGGCTGCGTAGACCGAGCACGAAGTCAAGAACACCTAGGCTTTGGTTCGAGTCCTCGACGATGTCCCGGTTCGCATATGGCGATCAAAGAAGGCACCCTCATCTTGGCGATGATTTTACGATACTTCGAAGATTTCAAGAATGCTACTGATATATCGCATGTTGAGGCGAAATCTAAATTAACCTTCAGACCCGAAAAATTGGAAATCTCAATGGCCAGGGTAACTGTGGAGAAAGAATACCATGAAGTTAGCGTCATGAACAACATCTGACTGCACTACAGCGATTGTCATGCTCGCTCAACCGGATCAATGGTTAACCGTTAACCTATCGAGCATCTTTTTTCATAGGAAGATGTTCGTCTGTTGAATGATTTTTTAATGTGCATTTGATAGTTTCAGTCGACATTTCTATTTTCGAGTTCAGTCAGCAACTCCCGAGCGTGGAGAGCTCCCGGGTCAACGACTTATGAATGCCGAGCTGTTCGTCTTGCGATCACTTCTCGACAATACTGCCATGACAAAGCAGTAGGGCTACCAAGGAACATCTTGGACATTCGGTCAACTCTGGCTCCAGAGATCCTCCAGTTCAACTAACCATCTATGTATACATATCCAGCCTAGATAATCCAGGAGACTATCAATAGAGTTGATTGATTAAGCGTTGCCGAAAGGACCGAAATCTTCGGCCTGAAGCATTGCAGGTGGATTCCCCCGCTGAAGTCTCGGTCACGGAACAGGTGCCGGATTAACTGGTGTCGTGCCAGCGGCTCACCCCTCACATGGGTCCGTGCCGTCACCCAGTCCACTCGAAAAAGATCTGTCAGTGAACCCTCGTACAATGCTTGGATTATTGAAACACCCGCCAGCGACCGAGCTCGCTCGCTCGCCGACTCGACTCACTCCAGCTAAGGTTGACCCCAGCCTCTTGTGAGACTTTTTATCTAGCAGTGAACAGTAGCTAGCCAGGGGATATCGGGGAGAAATCTTTTGTTAGCCGCCGACGAATGATCTGGGTGTCTAGTGTCTGATGTAAAAAGGGGTATGGACTCCCTACCCCACTGATCTCACTATGAAAATCAGCATCATCTACCCCGCTACACCCCGCTTAACCGCGAAATTTATACTGCGGTTAAGGCGACCAGCATTTGCGAGCTCGCTGATAGGAAATGGGTGGATGAGGGTGGTAGATCGGCGGCGTGGTCACCGAATGTCGATACTAACGCTCGCCATTTTCCGACCCCTCCGCGTTCAACAGGCTCACTGTGATCTTTGATCCCTAAAGTGGTGGTGGCCACCGAAAATCGGGGCGAGCGAGAAAAATATTAGGGTGATAGCGATTTCTTTCTAGACGCGTAGCGAGGAAGCCCGTGATCGTTGTTTCGGTACGATAGTCCGGGATAGCCTTCATGGAGAGTTGCGTCTTGTCCATGGAAATGTAAGTACTCAGTCTCCTATGGCCGATGGGAGGTATCCTGCTGTTGATTTGCTGATGCATCTCTATTTTGAGACCATCTACCAGGTGTCCTCCGGGGTTCGGGTTTAACCATAACGCGGTTAAATGCATCGAAATGTAATGTAGCGCATCTTTCATGACTAAACTCGAAGTTCTTTAATGGGTTCCAAGAAGACTCGTAGCTATATGTGATTGTGCAATTGGGACAGATTGAAAAATGGGCATCGTCAGTGGGGAACGCGCCGGGTGATGGGTCGTGAGAGTAACGATGGATACTTACAAGAAATACCCGTACATTTAGATCGTCATCACTATTCACTTTTTGCATGCTAGTCTAGGTATAGGTATAAGATGGTTCCCGCCTGGTAAGAGCTCGTGCTACCACTATAATGTGACCGAAATCCGCTGCTTGCGACTTCAGTTGTTTCTTAGTGTACTTATGTCTAGCGATGCGGTAAGCCAACAAATAGATTTTCCCACGGTCTCCTCGGAAAATAGTTTTCGGAGCAGCGTGAAACCTCAGCTGAGTGAAGATGTCAGCGCCGAGCCTACAGGAACTGTTTTCTCTGAATGGTCGGTAATCGCCAATACGATGATCGGCACTGGTGTTCTAGGGCTTGCCTCGGCCTTCACGGCCACAGGTTGGATCCTGGGCTTCTGCCTGATGACTGTGTCCGCCTTAATGGCGGTTTTCGCATTGCATCTGATGAACTCTCTGTCGATGAGCTCCACAACGCGTCAGGTTAGTTGGTACACTGTGTCTGGACTCTACTGCCCATGGGCGAAACTAGTGGTTGATATAGTTGTTATTATCAAGTGTGCCGGTGTGGCTGTTTCTTATTTACAAGTCGCTGGTGATATGCTGTCGATGCTTCTGGTCTTTTGGAGTGGTACCGAGTTCAGCGAGTCTACTGTGAGGTCTCTCATCATTGTCGCCGCGACGATCCTAATGGCACCAACATGTATGGCTAAAGAATTGAAATCGACCACTCTAGTCAACGTACTTGCCCTGGTCACTATAACCTACTGTGTTATACTAGGATGTGTGTACAGTGATGCTGATGGTGGTGATGATACTGTTGGGATTCCACCCCAATCATCTTTCACCAACATCCTTGCCAAGTTGCCTGTCTTCATCTTCGCCTTTACTTGTCACGAGAACATGTTCCCGTGCGCCACTGATATGAAAGGTCGCACTCAGAAGAAGTTAGATTTTGTGGCTGTTTCGGCTGAACTTACTGGTTTCATGATTTTCTTACCCGCTGTCATTTGTCCCTACCTCACGTTTGGTTCTCAAGTGCAGCCAAACTATTTGCAGAATATCGACTACAAGAACAACATCCCAGTCCAAGTTGGGTATATAGCACTGTCAATCGGTGTCCTATGCTCTTACGCTCTGCAAGTGGTTCCTATCGTGAGGTCGGCTATGGTCTTAGTCACGCGTGGTAAGACTATCAGCAGTCCCAGGAAGGCTAACGCTATCTTTTACATTGTAGCTGCCGTATGTCAGCTGGTACCTATGGCATTGGCTATCGCTGTTCACTCGCTCGGGGTTACATTCTCTTTTGTTGGTATTGTGGGTTCTAACACTATCGCATACATAATGCCGTCGTTCCTGTACTGTATGATGGTCAGAAAGACCGGGTCTAAAAAGAATATAACCTTCTATTTGGCTGTTGTCCTCTGCGTGGTTTCCATATGTCTTCTCCCACTCTGCATCGGGTCACTCATCCAGCAAATCATCGCTGGTACTGTGTGATCGATTATGAGTAGCTCTGAGCTGAGACTCTCTAATGGTCATATCTACGTATTTCAGATCACCTCTTATGCAAGTGTCGATGTTCATTGAATGTCTAGTTCCAAGAACCTCGTATACATGCATATTATGCCTTTGCATTCTTACCAATTCCCCCCCAACTCCAGAACATATTCATCCTCAACACAGACCAGCATGGTATCGTAAAGGTACCATAACTGGATTATGAGAAGATGAGATGTTTACTACCTATAGAAATGTCCTAATACGTAATTGTCATGGTTGTCGTTTGCATCGTAACGATGCAATATCGTAGTCGTAAAGGGCCTGAAGTAGCACGAAACTCGGAGACTGCTGGCTCCTGGTGAACCCTAGCCCTTCTGTACTCGTTTCCTATATCCTCACAACGGTTGCGTTATGACAGTTGGGCCTGTTTCGGCTGAACTTACTTGGTTTGACGTCTAGAGTTTCACTATTCTCCGTAACTCGGCTGCCATATGTTGTCGCATTATAATCTCATTTGAGAACCGGTAATATGTTTATTAACCGCGTTGGCAATATCAAACTGAGCATTGCGCTCACTAACTGTCTTCGATGCCTTGATGAATTGATATTCGCCAGGAAGGTATCAGCACAGTGTGGCCTCATCGGTCTTCGTATGGAATGGCTCAGCGGGGAGATGATATTCAAGTATCAATATGGGACTCACTCGGATCACCGAGAGCCGTCGGTTTCACACTCTACGAGACCAACATTGTCCGGTGGTCACCAAGCTAGCCAGCAGTTTGTTGGCATTCCGCGAAAAATCGCAAATCTTCGGTAATGTCACCAGCGGGTGGTGTATCAGGCCCGATGGATGTAAGGACGATATAAGTGAACTGATGATTTCTGTAGTTTGCTGGACATCTGGGCTATTCGTATGCCCTGTTGCTGATGTCAGTGAAGCTCCTCTACATACTGCACAACACTGAACATTTCGATCACATCCCACATGATCATGATTTCATCAAAATAACATCAGACATGTTGAAGAAAAAACACAACCTCACGCGTGATTGTAAAATGACTCAAGACATTCTCATCGAGTCCGTATTTTCTTATAGACGTTCGTAACCGCTCCCCTTCTTACTCGTAACCCTCTTCACGAGACGTCTGAGTACGCCCTTAGATTTTCCGGCTTCTTCATTCCTGATATCCTTCTCCTTTTTATGGTCCCTTCCAGTGGAAGCGTCGGCACCCGGAACATCCTGCTTCCAGTCTCTCGAACTTCTCCAATTGATTGCTTGGTATTCATGTGCAATCGGTCTTCCTGCTGGCTCGAGAATAATATTAGATTTTCGGTGGGACTTCGTACCAGAGGCTCCGACTTCAACATAGAGAGCGTCACCGACTGTAGTGTACATGAGTTCCTCTAGCACTATATTTGATGACGATGGATAGACTTGTTCGATCTTACCTCCTTGCACGTTAATCTGCAGAGCAATTTTCTCGAGTCCGGATTGCCCTGTTTTTTCACCAGTGTACGTGCCGTTCTTGGGTTCGATAGTGGGATAATATATGCCTCCTCCGACGTCGGTGATAGGCGCACTATTGATGACTCTCAAGCCAACCCTGGAGCACAATTCGTTGAGTTCGTTCATCAGACCAGGCTGGACAACTTGATCTCGATAAGGTTCGAAACATTCCCTGGAAGCATCGTGTGTATTAACCTTTACGGAAAATGAGATCTGTTTGTTCGTCGTTCCATCAATAGCAGTAACCAAGGCCCCATTTACAGGGCTTTCCCGATTTGGGAGGGTATAATGAGTAGTAGGCACGCACTCTACAGTGCCGTCAGTGTTTTCATAAGTCCACTTACGCATATAACCCACATGGAAGTCCTCAAGTTGCATGACACCACGATGAGATGGTTTCAGATAGAATCGGGTACCAGTGCTGTGATCCTTGCCGTACAGCCAAGCAACTGGGCGGTACTGCTTTGCAAGGGAGGTGTTGTAGCCTACTATGGCCATCACCGAGATGAATGCCTTGCTGGAATTATTAACCATCAATGTATATGACAAGTACTGATGGATGTGAATGTCAGAACTGCGCGGTAAAGGAGAAGGCCTAGAGACATGAGAACAGGGATTCTCGGAACTTTCGGATCGCTCGAATGGCGAGCGAGCATGAGTTGATCAGCAGGGAATTGGGCAGGGTTTTCGCCCGACAGTACTTCATGAAGAGTGCTCGTGTATCATTTTCGGAAATGAACATCCTCTCGTGATGGGCCGAAGCAGGTGAAATAGCGTATGCCTTTTCGGTCGCAGGTTTGCTCCCTGTTGTGAAATTAAACCAGGTGTTGGACTTCCCAACCCTATTTGTGACATCGTAACGATGCAGTATCACCCCATAAAGGGCCTCGTGTGGCACACAATACGGACACCCTCGAGTCCTGCTGAACCCTTGCCCTTCTGTACTTCTTTCGTTCCCATTCTGATTCTTTCCCACTGCTGGACGAACACAATACGGATAATTAAGAGACAGTAAACGTAATGTGTTGGTAAGGGACGTGAGTTATAGAACGTTTAGAGGACTCAACCATCTATCGAGGCTTGCACGTTGGCCAGGTACCTACAGCATCCTCAAACCAGTGACAACACAAGCAGCATAACATACATCAGAGCATGGGTGTTGTCTCTCATCAAGCATCCTATACTATCGGCCGCCTTCCGATGGGCCAACACTTGCTCCAGTAGAGCTACCAGGGCCACTCTCAGTGTCGATCCCGCCTCTGTACCTAGAAAGACCATCAAGAAAAAACCACAGGACATTGAGTTCTCACCGCTGCCATCGGCAAAGTTATGAAGTTCACGGTCCAGGTTTTGGTACTGCATCTCAAGAGCCTGCGGCGAGCCGAGCTCTCGTCAGTGAACGAGTACACAGACCTACCAGTCGAGCCCAGAGCATGTTGGCCTCCAAATGAGGGCTATCCCGAAGCCTCCGAGAGAGAGTGCTTATCAAAGTCGGTAAGAGACGGAGCCCGACAGACCCGATGCATGCTGCTATCGAATCCGGAGGATCCATTGGGACAACGTCGAACACCTACACATGGCAAATGACAGAGACATGCTCATCAACTGGCATCATCACATAATCGATTATTTTGGCGTCTCCAGTGACAAGAGCCATGACCACGGCAGCTGGCCAATTCTCGTCCTTGACCATTTTCACTATCTGCTCCACATTAACACGCTCTGTGAGTAGACCCGTGACTGGGGTGAAGCTCAGAGCAGTAGTGGCAGTGTCGGCACCAAGAGCGACTGAAATAAGGCGAAACCTATACACTGCTGCGGACGATGGAGCTGATATCCTACCGCGGTCACTCGAGAAGACGTGCGCACCAAGACTAGTAGCCACACAGACCTGCCGACCATCACCAGATACGGTCAAGCCGAAGACTCGCCTGATTAGAAGCCGACCACCATGCAACGTTACAGTAGGAGGCAATACACTCACCATAGTTGATAATCCTGTTTGGAGCCGTAACCAGCCTTGACTCCAGGCAGCCTCTCCGCCTGAGTAATCCTCTTCCTCTTCCGGTCCGCCCCCTCTAGCTCTTCATATCTACAATAGACTCATGATGCTACTACTCTCACCCTATGCAGAGCCTCACTCTTGGTCCTGTACAGCTACGGCCAAGGCAGCCCCAGTGTCAGTGCCACGGTCCAGCTTGCTATTGAGGAACCTGTAGGCCGACTCCCCCCAGCTCTAGGTGTAGTCGTGACTGACCTTTTAGTGCCGATGATGTTGCCTTGAGCACAGGTCATAGTAGTCCGGCACAGCAGTACTCGTAGACGTGTATCGTATATCATCAGATACCTAACAACGACTCTGGCCACAACTTCCCGTCCATCGTCCTACGGCGATCTCGGGCACACCGCAGCGAGCCACTGACCATTAGGGCTGAAGCAGAGATCGGTGAAGTATCTACGAAAAGTAACGCACTCGGAAGATTTCTCGACTCAGCCAGATAGATCCTCACTGTGTGATGTCTGCTGGACCGCCAGTACCGTCCCGACGGGCCTTCTTGCCGCTGGTGAGACCACCAGTAGCTCGGCTACCTACACCGTATGATAGCCCCCCCATTGCTTGGTCTATCTCCTACTGACCTTGTCCGCGACCAGCTGCAATATCCCTGCTGGCATCAATACTTCCTCCCATCTCTCTACCCTCTGTTGTATCCCAGAAGTAGATGTGGCCCGCCTGTGTAGCTGTGGCCAGTCTAAGGGAAACCAATTGCTAGAGCCGCTGATTAGAGAGTGCGCATGCGTACACATTTTTTTCCGTGTTCCGAGCAAAGGCACAGGCCGTTACCTGTCCCTGGTGGATGAGGCTCTCCCCGCTGCCAGCCTTGGTTTGCCTGAGGACACCTCAAGTCAGTGCGTGACTGCATAGGAAGACCTACCGTCCATATACGTCCCACACACGTAGCGTCCTGTCCCAGGAAGTAGAGGCGAGGAGGGACGAATCCCAACAGAAGTCCAGAGCCGACACGCGAGCTTCGTGACCAGAGAGGACCTGAATTCGAACTAAGATCTAAATCGACTTTGCTGGACCTAGCGGTCGTCAAGCAACAGGTCGAATTTCGCCGAAGTCGGTAACGCAGCACTCTACACTTGGAGAATAAAGCGATGGTTTATTCGGTCGCGAAGCCCCCGACCAGTGACTTACATCAATGCAGTCCCCAGTCTTGAGTGCCCAGAGGTAAACAGCTCCTGGTGCCTGAGCGCTAGTGCCACCAGCAGCAACGACATCTCCTCCTCCATCCACAGAGACGGTGGTGAACTGTACCAGGCCCGAAGCGGACGGTGCCGTCATCACCTAGTCACTTACTGTACCAATAAGCCCGACAACGAAAAAGACCCACCCTGAAGTTGCGGTAACGCAAAGAGTCGTACGCACGCACACTGCCATCTAGACTTGCTGATATCACTGCGTTACCAGTAGGTGTGAAACACACGCCTTCCACTGTAGAGGTGTGGTCAGCGAAAGTAGCATAGCAGAAACCCGACACTGAAAGGCAGCGTATAAAGCGGCCTTAGTCATTACGAAAACCCACCAGTGTCCCACAGCTTCACCTTGCCCTCCATACCACCAGTGGCCAACAACTGCCTGTGGTTCTGGCCAGCAGTGATCGTGCTACCTGCCTTGGGCTTAGTACTCCCTGCTAGAGGAGAGTAGGCCACGCAGCGGACCTACAGGATGAGTAGTAGTAGACCCGTAGAGGCCAGTAGATGTCCCTAGGATGGGCCTACCCCATGATGGTGACCCTGTTGCTTGAGTATCCAAGTCTCACTACGCCATTCATAGACAAGGAGCTGTCTGGCGTGGGCCGAGCCGATGCATATCCAGTCACCACCCGGACCTGCAATCACCAGGAGGTATCACGGCAGCACTATGATCAAGCTCATGTCGTACTGATGTCGGCGTGGGTGATAGAGCAGCCTGCAGAGCCACCCAGTGTGGTCGCGCTCACCAGCGATAGCTCCTGTAGAAGGGCCATGGTCGTGACCTCGTACCTGTCCAGCATTGGCATCACCGTCATACCACAACTTCCACCACTTACAGAGCGAAGATACCATGGCTGAGGCCGATGACGAGCATATCGCTGAAAGCATCGAAGCCAACAGCAGTGATGGTGCCTCCCTGATTACGACACGTAGTAGTACTAACGACATCGAGCACCTCCTCACCTTGACCGCCTCCAAATGGTTCTTCGACTGCAGCACCCATACGCCACTATCATCCACTTTCCAATGCAGTAGGAAGCTGAAGACCGCAAGACTGACAGAAGGTATGCTGGCTGGACTCACCCGTTGCGAGCGACGGAGTAGATGTCTTTGCCGCTCTTGCCAAAGTAACTGCCTCGGACTGGGGCCTGGTGCTCTACCAGACAGCCCGATGGGATGTCGCTCACAGAGTGGTCCAGGATCCACACACGGACCTGTAACGCCGTGGTCATAGCTCCCATAGTGAAGTAGCATGCCTCCCTACCATCATATCGTTGCCGCTAGAGATTAGGGCGTTCGAGTCCGCCGACCAGCTGAGGTGCATGACCTCGTCAATGTGACCGGCGAAGGTATGCTTCACCACCTGATGAAGATGATGATGATCGAGGGTAGTGACCGCCCATGGCGTCCCTACCATCTGCCAGCCACTTCTCGCTGATGGGGCATACCACACCACGACCTTCCTTCCAGAAGTGACTGCGATATAGCGACCATCTGCAACATACAACAATGTCACTATGCGGGTGGGGAATGAGCAGTAGTACCAGGGGAAAATTCGGCGGCTCGGACTGTCTTCGTTTTGAGGTTGAGCCGGTGGAGCACTAGACCGGTACTCAGGGCCACGACCATCGCAAAACCATCGGTGTCAACGGTAAACAGCAACGAGTTGTCGGGGGAGGTCTAAGGGGTTCTCACTCACCACGAACAGTAGAGATCGTATGATACCGTCATAGCAGCAATTGCAGAGCCACGGATCTCCATAGGAAGGCAGGCTGTACGATTAGACCTAGACAAGTCAGTGACTTGGACCTGAATGACTGGTAAGAGCGGAGCTGTATCTGCTGAAGGGCTACCCGCGAGGAGACAGTAGAGAGCAGGAGGGATGGCGGGGGCTGGGCCTCTTGGGACAACGAAGAGGAGCCTCTAGTAGAGAATCTTACCGGACCACCTGATCGGACAAGAATCGTATATTAGGTCCATGGGACTATCATGTGAGTCCCAACTGTTACCATTGTAAGTAGGACCAAGCAAATTGGTAAAGGCAAAGGAGAGCCTAGTGGCAACTGACGGCTCGCCACTGGTGATCTTCGCAGTAGTAACGGCACCGTCAAGCGAGGAGGGAACCTCCGACGATGATGACGACGTTGATGTTGACATCTGAGTGGACCCTACCAAGACACGATGTGGCCATGGTGTGGTACTGGAACTCAGCAAAAGGATCATTAGAAACTAGCAGTCGTACGTAGTGGAGTCATTATTCAGTCAATCTCGGACCGCTGATCACGCCTGTCCACCTAGTTTAGCAATGGTAATCTTGACACATTGCAAGAGTGTCTCTCTGAGCTGCGTAGGCGGTAAAGTGCCATTCACAACTCCCTCGTAGAAGCGTGCCAACTCGGGACTCTCCGCCAGACTGCTGCCCAGAGTGCTCTGGAGCACACTCTGCACTCGAGCTTGGGAATCCGGCGGCAGTGCCTTCTGGGTGAGCCCCACATTACGCAGCATTTGGCTGACCAGAAACACAGCCTTGACCGATTCATAATCATTCACGTTCAATTGTCGCAGAGCACCGACGCATATAGGCAGTAGCTCCTGCAAGTTGAGCAAGTCCGCCAGCATTACTCTGATGAACTCCGGGTCCGTCGCTCGACTCGTCGCCTCTACCAGACGTGATACTATCTGTACACTAGCCGTATACAGTTGGACTTCCGATGGTGTGCCAATACACAGACGGATAAGGCCCAGCACCGCCGGCGTGGCCCGAAGAACCTCCACGAAGGCCTCCATCTGTTTAGTCGCCGAGTCCCGCATCAATGTGAGTATAGCGACACCCAGCTCCAGCTTTTCCCTTCTAGTCTCGGGAGAGTCCACCGGCATCGCCTGCCATGCTGGAGCCAAATCGGTAATAAGACTTGGCAACTGCGAGCTGACCAAACCCCGCCCCAGCTCAGCGTCCGCCTGCGTAATAAGGTGCGAGACGAAGCCCAGGAACTCCGCCATATCGGAACTCTGGCTGGTCGAGTTCGCCTTCACAACTGGCAACACGTCGTTGAGCACAGGGGCTAGCCGCTCTGATGGTAATGTTTGGAGTAGTTGCCGACACAACAATATCATGCTCTGTCGTATCACCCGGTCAATTGCTACATGAGCAAAGTGGACCCGTAGTTTGCCCAAGAACATGTCCCATGCTTCCAGACCCACCGAGCATTTCTCTATCGCCTTAGCCAGTGAGGCCAATGCCAACATGAGTCTATTGTAGAGGCAATCAGCTGTAGTGCCTCCCGGAGGTACCGCCACCAGATCCGGGCCACCCCTGTCCAGAACAGTAGAGAACTGTGCTAGCACTGCAAGTAGGGTCATGACTTGATCATCAACATCATGGGAGAGCAAAGTGCCCACAGCCTCGTAAAGATTGTTCTGATACTCCCTCTCAGCCTGGCCAGGGGTAATGGCCAGACATGACGACAGTTCGTTTACAAACGGGCCCACTTGTGGCGCTATCACCGCCTTATGCTGCTTGCAAAATTTCACAAGCAGGAACGATGCTCGCCTAGCGACCCTAGGATTCTTGGACCTCACCCCAGCGAGTAGTGCCGGCAAGCACACACTATCAACACACCTTGATGCCGCACCCGAGTACTTGCACACCAGCTCCAGTGTCTGCAGTTGGACCAGCCAACTGCGATGCTGCATAATTGCAGGGCAGTGGAGGATCTGGGCAGCTGTCGAGCCCAGTTCATTTTCATAAGCCTTTTGCTCCCCACATACGTGTAACATGGTCAAACCTATAAAAAGTATATTACGCATACCACACCACACGCTACTGCTTACAAGCCTCCAGCTGGCTATCAGCCAATGCAGCCGCCTGGTTACCCTGTGTGATGGAAGCCACTGTAGTCCTCACGAAATCCAGGGCGGTCTAAGGAAGGGAGAAACCTCAAACCATCACTACGCCACATTGTAATACGTCCTTATCAACTGCAAGGGCCTTCCTAATGAGCTTGCAAACGTCAGACCGGAACTCGGCGAAGGCCACCTCCTGCTCGGTACCGTCATCAACATCATCACCTATAAAGAGGAGGACGATTGATGAGAATACAGGAAGACTTGAGTCATATTTAAAATAGTCTGAATAATTGTAGCCGCGGGGATTCGAACCGGGGTCCTTCGGGATGGGAGCACGCCCCACCAGAAAAGCGATGTATAAACGTCTGCTGCCTCGTTGCAGACTCATCAGGTGAGCTACTCCCTTCCCCATTGCATTGACTAGAAGCGGGTGACGAAGGACAGCGGGAATGGATCCCGGAGACCGCCGCCGAACCTGCTCGAGGTTTCCGCCGCCGAACCCCACCCACTACTCACTTTCATGATTAAACCACTGCGGATAACATAGATGAATCTGAACAGGATCATCATCTACGTTGTTGCTGTTGATGATATTCAGCGACCCATCTAGCTGTGACAGATAAAGTCCACAAAGTTTTTCAAAGATGAAGAAAATGTTCCTAGTGTGATCACATTTACATGGCAAACCGACTAAAGATGTGTTCCTAGCCATACGTGAAACATTATAGGTTTCTGGATGATTCCCCATCGAAATGAGCTCAGTTGGACGGCCGTTCAGTGGTAGTACTCCCCTTACCAGTGACAGGCGCATAACCTCCGTTACAACAGGTTTAACTTCTTCCTCCAAGGCCTTGCCCTCTGCCTCGCCACTACTACTGATCATCTACCAAGACTAATCACTATAGGGAGGGCCATTGTATGCGACCCCACCTTCCGAACATTGCCAAGAAAGATCTGTAAGGAGTTGTCCACCGACGCTGCTATCTCGAATGAACTGTGGGAAAAGAACTGTTCCAAAAGTGCCACCACCAGGTTTTGAACCTGCGCACACTCACAAGTCCCGATCGAACACTGCCAACGGACCTACGCATCGCCATGCTGCCATCACACTGGTGTCGGTAGCTTCCAGACTATTCCGGATGAGCATCTGGGACTCCATTACACTTTCAGAGACCTTGTCGTACCTGCCATTGCTACCATGACACCAAGCCCATAATCCCCCCCCTTGACGAGGCCTATTACATTTCCGAAACCTTGGCGAGCTTCCGTGAATCCGCCAAACACGCCTTGGTCATCCGATCCATGTGCCTGCCAACCCGTGACTGCACTCCAGACACGCTGAAGCCCTCGATCGTACCCTAGCAGGTCCAACTCCAATACCATACTTAGCCTTTTACCCGGCAGCATCTTCTTATGGCACATAGCAGCTATGAAAGTGCATACATGTTGACCTGATGATCAACAGCATCGACGAGCTATATTGAATCTTCTAGACAGACGCAATGACCAACAATATGCAGTGTATTCTACGTGTAGCCTCCGCTGAATTTCGTGGCGCGCGACAGTTTCCCCTCGGTACATTGTTCCAATGTGCAAGTACTGGACTCCACAATCTTGGTGACCAACTCTATAAAATGAGTGTTGGCGAAGAGAGTGATTTCTGCCCAGGCCACGTATCTGACGCCGTGAGTGACCCTAGCAGCAGTCCATGCCTTACCTGGACAGAACATTGAGTGAGAGCTCCGTCGACTTGCCACCACTTAGGGAGTTGAACAGAACCTCCACAATACGATTGATATCCCCTATAGTGAAGACAAGTCATTCCATCATCACTTCCCACCACCAACGACTACTACCACTTTCCCGCATAGTGTCCTTAACACGCATCGGCAGGGAGCTCTCGCCGCTGCCATGCATGTTCCTGAGGGTAGCCTGGACAGAGATGGCCTGAGGACCCCGCCCTACTACCTAACATCGTCTCCAATGAGCTCTTGATCTAGTGATATCAACACTCGAAGCATAAAGTCCAAACCTCGGTCGCTGGCAGAGGAGAGCTGGAGGAGATCTTTGATGGCTGTCGACCTGACCGATCATCAAAGATGCTCCGCGCACAGCGAAGATTCTACTCACCACACTCCAGACTGATAGTCGTTACACATTAGCTGCATATAAAGAACAGCTATGCGGTTGACAATAGCCACGGGCACCTCTGTGCCTGGTACCAGTACTGTGGTCACGTAATGGCACAATGCTTGGCGAACTGAGTATGGATGAGCGATAACCTATGACAAGCCCAGCAGCAAGCACTACCTCCTAGTCGCTGGGCTGGGTTTAGCCCTGGTGCTAGCTGAGATAGGGCTTGCAGACTCCAGAACTGGACCTGTCATGCGAAAGGTCCTCGGTTCGAATCCCAGGTGAGACAACTCACCTCCATTGACACTCCACTAGGGGCAAATGCACACCGAGAGATTATCTCAGAGGCGTCCGCTCTCTGCTTGACCTCTGAAGAAGATGTCACCAGTCACAGGTGGATCACCAAGCCATGGGTATTACCATTGCACAACTGCTCAGCCTTAAGTCGTGCTGAGGGGTCTGCCTTAAAGGAAACATTGTGTATAACAGATGTCAGTGTAGATGCTATTACCCGATAGTTGAAGAGGACGTCAACGGCCTCGACAAGTACTGGATCGGGCGCCCCCACCGCCGCCGCTGGAGTGCTTGACATACTCACAACAACTAACTCTGCTACATCCGATCCTTTAACATGTTTATTTCATCTTAAGTCCAATTAAAATTATCACTACCTCAATTTTGCCTCAACCGCCCCGATATGTAGTCACTAGGCCAGTTCCGTAGAGGCCTGAAAGGCGATGGTCCTTCGCAGTGAAGGGAAACCCTCCTAAAGGGTCTCCAACATGCGTTGGAGTACTTCTATATAAACCCCACTCCGACGGTTAGACGCCTACCCCTTAAAGAAGTCAGGGCCTAGCCAGAACTCAGGGAAAAGTACAAGTTCATGGCAGGCGCTGATAGTTGCAGGTAAATTTCCGACTTCCCAGAATTCTTGAAATCTTGCAATCTTGCATTTCCTCAACGCTATTTGACCATGACGACCAGTGCGCGCTCTGAACTCTAGCACACTGCTCCTGGGCCTTCCACCCACATCGTTGTCCTACCTCTTGCATTGTTACTGACTTATAGTAGTATCACTGTAGAGCTGCACATATGTCGGCCCCCCCCCCGACAGTTTTGAAGCCCTTGCCTCCTTGCCGGAACACCAGAGAACTTACCCAAGATGCCTCAAGTTCATAACACAATTGTTTTCCACGAAGTGAGTTGTGAGATATGTTTGCTACTAGTGTTTTCCATATCACTGCTAAAACTCCAATTGTTCGAATTCTTATTATTAGGTCCCTTTTTGATATGAATATATAATAACATTTCGTTGGATAAAATCTAGAGGTCCAGTTTAGGTTCTCGCGGTGAACGGATGGTCGATTGGGGAGTGGTATGGTATGTACAATCAAGGACTGCTCTCTCGTCCAATGTAGCGTGCATGGACCTATGCGATGGTGGGTTGTATTGACTGTGTGCAACCACCGACGACTCCTGTTGGCCGTCAACTGCGCTAGTAGCAAAGAGGACGTAGTGAGGTAACAGCTAAATTAGAGGTGATATGTGGGTCCATTGGGAGAATCTATGCTGATGCCCAGACTGGCAAGGATGCTAATGAGCTGGCCTTTGAGGTGGCTGAAGTTACTTATGAGATCATCGGGGGCGCTGTAGGCAGCAAGCCGGGCCCCTGTGCTGCTGAGTATGGTCTGAGATTGAAGTAACCGAGTTATTGTTTAGAAATGAACTCATTGTTAATCATGCTTGTGCTGGTGTTGAATACCGAATGTGTTTCCCTAGGGGAGTATGATGTTGAGTTGTCCTATGGCTGGGTACTGTATGTGAGAGTTGGACCTGGACAGCATATACTGAGTTTATTCCCTAGGTACAGCTTCTAATTAGTCTGTTTAGATCGCATCGCGAAAATCCATTTTTGTTATATATTCCGAAGCGCCTCGGCGATGGGGTTCTGTTGGCATGATATGCACTAGGTGAAGTTTCGTGCCTTCGGTGGGATTGCTCTCATGTGAGCCTCTATAGAATTGCTATCAACTTTACAGTTAGTTATTATTAGCGCTCCTCGACCCGCTCTATTTTGCAGTTTTTTCATCAGATGGCTTCATCAGCGGCTTCGGACCCCTTTTATGTGGCGCGAGATGAGGTTGGGCGCAACTGTAGCGACTTCGTAGTGTTGTGAAGTGTGTCGGGGTGTAGGTTCAAAACTCGGTGGATGTGATGAATGATCGGTACCAAGAGTGGCAGGCCAAGCAGGCTTCGGGCGTTAACCTGGCTAGATCGGCCAGCTTCGAGGATCTTCAGCGGAAACTCAGAGATGATGTGAGTTAGGTCGTACTACTTGGGCTCGCTCACACTACTGACTGCGCGCACAGCGAAGATTCTACTCACCACACCCTAGGTTGGTAGTCGTTACACATTAGTTGCATATAAAGAGCAGCTGTGCGGACACCGTATGACATGATGATCTCGGCTAGCTCCTTTTCGGGTGAGGACCCGAAAAGGCCCATCTGATGGTAGTCTATAGGGCTTTAAAAACAGATGATCGATGATCTTCTATTTTATCCTTGAAGGCCTCATGTCTCTATAAACTGTATAGAGAACTGAACGGGCGGCAAACTCTTACTTATGGTCAGGAATGGTAAACACAGTTGAGGCCTCCATAAGGCATCCTCAACAATTAATTTCCTTTTATAACATTGCTATGATTGGACATCAACTTTCGAGTCGCTGCCAAGGAATGGTAACACTCCAGCAGAGTCCCGTTACCACTCCTCCGCAAACTTCAATGGTTAGAGAGTACCCATGACAGGACTCGGTTCGAGAACTGCTTGGACCCACTGTACTCGTGTTAGACGCATTCTTTGACGGCCGACTTGCGAGATGTGGATGCGAGTATTAGAGCTGTTGAGAAGCACCCTGAGCGATTTCCGTAAGCTCCTACGTTGAGACTGCTGATTCGGATCGACGAGCCTCTGGTTTTAGGCATTGTACGCCTAGCGAGCTCGCGAATCGACGAGATTGGGCTACTAGGATGAGGCAACAGGTAAGTCGATAATATGAGATGAACACTAGAGGGTTACCACGAAGTGTAGGTGCGGGATGTCAAGAACGCCATGGGCTCTGAGGCAGCCCGAGAGAGGCTGAGTAAAGACCGTGCAATGCTGCAGATGGAAGAGGGAGCGGCGAGGCAGGCGACTGCTCAGGAGGTAGGTGGTCTCAGCAGTACTCTTATCGAGTCCGGTTATTCACAGTGATGAGAGTAGCAGAGGAACGCTCTCTTGTGGGGTTAGTGTGAAAAACTGATTAGTAAGCTCATGAAAATTTGCTTACATATTAAAATTTAATCATTGGATTATTACACTATGGGAAAACGCGATTAGATGATTACAACAATTTTAGATTATCATCCCATTGGAAATAAATTCATATTGTATGATTATATTTTCATTTTGTTGGGGTGCCTGGTGCGAGATGGGGGTGGGCATCGAAACAGGGAAGCCATTTTACAACGTTATTACATCGCTAACCATATATTACTGGAGTTTCACCCGTTTTACGTGAAGTGGCGTATTCGTGGTATGCAGTAGTCATGAAATATGTTTTTCGCATCACGGGTGAAACTCCACTATCATAACATATCTATCTCTTATCATAGCGATAGATTGTATATCTCGGTAATGCAGTTTCATCCGTTTCACGTGAAGTGGAGCAATTGTAGGTGAAAAACGCGATATTCGCGGTGATATGCAGTAGTCGTGAAATACTGTATATGTTTTTCACATCACGGGTGGTGAAACTCCAATTTTTATGATCCAAATAATATCAATAGTAATTGGTGCCACCATCCGACAAAATGGCTTCCTTTCTTAGAAAATCTCCCTCGTCTTGGTGATCTCACGAAGAGTGTCATAATAGTCGTTGTGGGCTTTGGGAAATTCCCTCTCGATCAGAACTCGAGGCTGTTGGGGACGAATAAACAAGTCCAGGAGCAGATAGTAGAGGATCAAGATGAACAGCTCGATGACCTCGCCAGAGTTACTCATCGGCTGGGGGAAGCGGCACAGGCCATCAACGTGGAGTTATATGTAGGCCTACTGAGAGTCTCCTATTTGGTGAATCTTTGGGTGGAGTCAGGACCAGCAGCGGATGCTGAGCGAGCTGGATGAGAACATTGATAGGCAACAGGAGCAGATGAACTTTGTCATGGGGGGTCTGTCGAGGCTGCTGAAGACCTCTGACCACAAGCAGCTGTGCACGGTCATCGTAGGGAATGCTGGCGGCTAGTGGTGGGCTTATTCTTCTGCAGGCACTGTTCTTGATACTGGTATTCCTACTTATGTGGAATCTCAACCTCTGAAGCATCAACGCTATGAGTGTATGTAGTATTGGTCTATCATTTCGATATCAAGACGAGAGTGTCGGGTTGGAGGGGAGTGGTGGTATTATAGTGTAGAGTACCATGTCTAACGCCCCACGCCCTCCCCCAGCAGTGGTGGCGGCCTCGGCAGCTTCGACTAACCTGGCTAGACTGTTGGACCTGAGGGACCTCGGCAGACGGTATGACTCCAGAGTGTTGAGGCAGTGGTTGATGGATCAAGAAATTGAACAGGTGGGGAAATGAGGGGGATCATCTATGAGGGCTTGATCCGTTGGGTTCCCTTGCCGCTGTGCGAGGGGCCATAGAGTACCTTGAATGCCCTGCCTTAGGAGCTGGCGGGTCTGGAGGGCATCCCTTCAAGGGAGGATGATCGCAACGCGTACGTGCAGAATTATGAGCATTTCCAACTGCAGCCGACTCCCTATAGAATAGTAGCCGCAGGCATGCTTGCGGGTATGTGCCCTCTAGATCGTCGCATCTATCGCTTCCTAGCAGGTGTTCTGGGCACTACAATATCACTTATAGTGGCGGTCGCCTCGTACAACTCCTCGGAGATCTGGGAAGGGCTAGAGGACCCTAGGAGGGCCGCGGCTATCTGCTGTGAGAGGATCTCTTCCTTGGCCTTTTGTCGAGATTGTCAGCACTTCAGCTACTACGCCTTCTCTAGCCTCTGTGGCACCATGGCTAGTGAGCATGCTCTTCAGTAGCATCTTCGAGATAGCAGCTGTCATGTGGCTGGCACGTAACAGCCATATTGAAATTTGGGATGTAGGTTTGAGGGGAAGTCTCCTTTTATGTGGTGATTAATATGGTGGCCCTAGTTATACGTATAACTATAATATTATGTATATCATATATATAGTTACAAATAGATATACAAAATATTATATACATTTATATTATCTCTATCGCATATTAATCTTTTATCATTACTCGTCGATACCACACCGTGGCGAACTCCCAGGCAGTGTGTTGGCTCGGAGGCAGTGTATTTGAACCTACTCTGGGCCTAGGGAATATTCTGGTGTTTTCGCGATATAGGTCAGGAATGTTGACTTATTCGATCGTTATAATGCTTGATAAGCATTGCTCACTGCTCATCTACGATCCGCGATACCTTCCCCGAGGCGGCTCCTGTTACAGTGTGCTAACGCCGCAGCTCGTTCGAGTGAGGGATGAACTGTGAGGGAGTTGTGGGGTATTGAGAGCCTTTGAGTTGCTAGCGAATAGTGTCAACGAACTGCTATCAGAACCAGATGGTCCCTGCCCGAATCCTCTTGACTGGTGGTTTTCAGTACATCGCCCTAGTCTGCGGCGTAGGGTCTAGGATGGTGATACTTATGGACGTGCTGTGCCTCGTAAGTGGCAGTAAGGGGCTCCCTTCCCGCATCCTCCCCTCCTACAGGTTGTCTTCAGCCACTGTACCGGCTCTTTATTCTTGACCTACATCATAGTCTGGACACTGAGCGTTGGAGTTGGCCAAGTCCTGCCGACATTCAGGGTACGTTGGCCTGTGCGATACTCCTATAGACTCGCCTACAAGCTCTTTCTGTAGCATTCCGAAATTGACATAATCAGCTGAGAATTTCGTTTATGTTTTTGTTCCCATCGTCAACTACTGTGTAGTGCAAGTTTCAGAGCCTATGTGCGTTGCTGCGACGGCGTGATCTTTATTCGATGACGGAGTCATCAGTCCTCGGCCCAGTGGGTCTGCTCTGGCCTGGCACATGGTGTAAGACCGTCCCTAGTCCAGCGGCGGTAGGAGAACCCTCTTGTGTGTCCCTCCTAGCATCCCTGTTCTTAGCACATGCCTCTCCGTAGAGGCGAGGGTGATACTGCCGCACCCGGTCGCTCCGTGTCACCAGAGCATGGGACAACCTCTTCTGCTGGATGGTGTAGGGGGCGGTGCCGTATAGCAGGGTATTTGTATTGTATTCAGATGGCACTAAGCTTTGGCATGCAGCTCACCACGCGGGTTGGCATTGTCTCTCGGGAGTCCTCTTGAGGCTTTACGTCCCTATCTCGGCACTACCGGGCTGCGAGTTTGGTAGAAGTGTGCAGAGTTATATGCGATGCTATTCGGCGACATTGGTACGCAGTATTTGCCTTCCTCAGCCGAGTTCAGGAGTTTCCTCACTAATTATAGTTTGCATACGAACTTGGGTAGAAGTGTTCAGAGACCAGAACTATTCCCCAAATATTCCCATGAAATTTTCGTATTGTCACCAACACATATTTCTGACAATGTGCATATTCTCCCACTCTTACAATATCGCTGGTGGTAGTCTGGTCGAACTCAGTGGCCTTCAGGTCTTCACAGTCCTCCGAGTCTACTTCCTACTGGACTACGCTCCCAATCTCTTGGTGCTGGTCTCTCTGATCTATTCTTTGGTGACAGAGTGTCTCTCGTGCCTCTATGTGGTGGCCCCTAGAGTTGACGAACTGGTGGGTGGAGCTGATGGGACCGTAGGCTAGACTTTCTCTCTTGGTGTGTTCAGGATGACGACGAGGACTGGTGGGATGCCTTGTAGTTCATGAATGATAATTGCATAGAACTTTTTAAGTGTTCCATTAGGTCGAGCTTCTAGCTGCCACTCTGCCCTTTCGAGTTGAGCCCTGTTTTCGTACTCTTCGGGCGTGCTTCTTTCCTCGCAGTACTCAACCACAACTAACCACGGCTGGACGCACTTGAACTTTATGCGAACATATCGCTCGCCGTGCTCTTCCTCCTCGTAGTTAACTCGGGCCTCTACTCTATGCTGTTATCTATCCTCACTCTCTGCATCTCCCTTGTGCCATTCGTACTGAGTCACTCTGGTGGCAAAATAGTGTCGAAAGATGAGCTGATCGAGTACCTCACTGATGAGAAGGGGAGGGAGTTCTCTACTTGCGGGGTGCACAAGACAGACACTCTGTACATCCCAAAGGTCTCGGCTAAGTTCGCCAATATCGAGGGTAAGAACCGTGTACGATTCGCCTTGAAACTAGGGGGCCGGGCGAAGACCCCGGGCAGGGTCCTCAAGACGCCATGGTTGGTCTATACACTCGGTGCGAATACTCCCAAGCAGGGGATGATCATCGGGGCGGCACCAGAAGGAGTGGAGGCATTCGAAAAGTTCAAGGCTGCGGCGGCTGAGGAGACCAATACTGACGGCAACTTCAGAGCCTTTCTGACCAAGTTCAGTGACACGGACTATGGCGCGATTGTGGCCATCGGGGGTGACACCAGCATTTGGACGGGGAGGGTCTACTTCGGCAAAACGAACTTTTTTGAAAAGCAGCGCTGCAAACCTTGAGGGGGACCTCTAGATGTTCTAGCATTGGTACTGATTCATGTGATGCTGATGTGAGTCATGATGTAGTTCCTGCTAGTGTTGCGTTAGCAATGGCGCTCTCGGGCCCTCCCTCCTAGAGAGGCATTCGGCTGTGTGAGGTTTTGAGGGATGGACTCTTGTCAGCTAATACCTTAATTATGCCATGGGTTTTTGGATGGCATTTCCTGAGGATTGCCGCCCTCATGGCTGTGGTCCGAAGCAAGGGAGAGAAGTTCTATTTCTCAGATAACGACGATTATGATGACTCGCTAGACGATGGTGAGAAAATCTTCGCTGTGCGCAACTTGAGCATCTTTCAGGGATGTCCGAGGGGTCGAGCGGCGGGGCTTCGATTGCCAAGATCCCCGGTGGCGACTACGAGCCCCTGGACTATAAAGTTGGATCGCATTTCCATCTAAACTTGGACGACGATAATGCAAAGACGACACCATCGGCATCTACGACTCAACTCGGAGGCCATTCAGGTAGGCCTTTCACCGATTGTTCTGTACCGGTCACTCTTATGGTACCAAGTGGTTCGAGATGGAGTGGTACTCTTAGATGCTTTGGGGGCATCTTTGGAATCGGAACCAAAAGGCTTGGCTGGTGACACTACGGCGCCTCCAGCTTTGTTCGATATTGACAGCGGCGAGAAGGATTCGACGCGGACGAGTAGCCTGTGGTTTGAGCCGTCTCCTCATGCTCGAGCCTCGACTACTGCTATGGTGCTTCCGACGACGACGACCACTACTACTACCACGGCACGACCAGGACTGGTAGGAGGTGAACTCCGACTGGTTGTGGCGGTATGGCCTTCGCCTGCTCAGTGTCTGTGCCAACCTCTGGAGTAGAGGACCCTGAGGCTTCCATGGAGATGGACTGCCCTGATGGATATGAGGCTAGGGGCCTTTGGGTGCTTATCAACGACCCAACACGAGGTTACATCACAGGTTTGAAGCACTCCTTTTTACAGGTCGTCATTATCAGCATCCTTATTCAGGCAAGCACGAGTCGATCGCGGCGGTGTCTCTCATTTGCGATGACCACCTTGAACAGCTGAAGAGCTCAGTACTACCACACCATTGCCATCTTCTGAACAAGTCTTGCTTCCATTGCAGCCATCGACGCCAAAGGCCACCAACCAGCAACAATGGACTCGTCTGGCTTGTATGGACCGCCCTGATGGCCAGCGAGTGCGACGCCTCATCATCCTTGTGTTGTGTCAGCCGTTTGCCTGTAGGTAGTGATGTCAGCTGTCAGTACGGCAGCTGAGACGGAGAGCAATGACTCGCCTTTGATGGAGTTGAGGCTGCAGTGTTCTGATGGTATGCACATATTTGGTCACCCCTGGACTCAGTCTACTCCTGCAGGGATTACTGTATACGGGTATGCTCCTACAGAGACCCGACGAATGTGGAGAGAAGGAGAACCGTGTAGAGAGGGCACGACAGCTAGGGGGGTAGTCAGATCATTGGTGGAGCCTGCTCTCCATAGGGGATCCTCCTGTGAATGTCAGATCAAAATGGCCATGAGGAACGGAGAGATGATGGGCATATCGACTCAGTGTGCTACGGCCTGTACTCGACACGACTGCGGCTTCCGAGAGCTGAGAGGCTCCTCCTCGTCTGGAGTCCAGCCTACTAGTGTCTGTGGTTGGAGGCCCAATTGCCATTGTGACTGTGGAGCGGTATGATGCTTCGGGTGGACTGGCTATGAGTGGTTCTCGTCAGACTTCTTTCGTGGCTTCCTCTTCATCTCTCTCGAGGATACCTCTGCCGACGGTGACTGAGATGATGCCCGCAACGGCTAGTGCTCCACTGTTCCCTCCACAGCCGAGTTTGATGTCGCAGCAGATCCAGCAACAGACTGAAGTTGCTCAGCAGGTAAGGGCGCAGGTTCGATCCTCGGTGAAGGTACTTTGCATTGTCAAGGCGAACTTGCAAGCTATTGACGAGCAGAGAATATCACAAGTTGAGAGGCAGGAGAACAAGCTAGACGCCGACATGGGGCAACTGGTGACAAGGTTGCGGCCTCTCGAGCTGTCTTCAATTGTTGTCTCTGCAGAGCGCCTCTGTGGATCTTTCCAAGCGGAACATCACGTCGTTCCAAGGAGCTCTCACTGCGGGCTTGCGACAGAATGCTGTGGATATGATGTCTCTTCTCGGGGACGTCGCGGCACTGATAGGGACAGGTAGTGGTGGGACAAGGAACTAGATGCCTGTCTACGTGCGGTGTGTAGCTTTACCGACGCCTGGCAAAGACGAGGGAGACCCGATGGCGATCCTCAACCGGGCCGAGCAGGTGATGATAATGTCTCATGGATCTGCCTCCCCTACTCGAGCTGTGTAGATGCTACGTGAACAAGTCGTTACAGCGAGGGCTAATGGCTCCTTCCCTCCGGTCTCGACAGAGGAACGAGAGAAAGTGAAGGTCCTGTCCGATGCTGTCGGCAACATCATACGGGCCGAGACCCTCAACCGAAACAGGCTGGACCAGGTTGGTTTCAAGTGTGGTCGTATGACAGATGATACTATGTGTGGTGCAGCTATCGAAAGCGTTCGAGAGCCTACATGCAGAGCTTACTGAAGCGGGGCATCTGAAAGGGAACTACCAAATTGCCGACCCCGACTAGTAGGCGCCATAGGCCCCACAGGTCTTGATCCTCGCCCCTCAGTGCATCGTTGTTGAATGCCGACCTCAACAGTGTACGAGAGGGTATGGACGAGGATATCAATGGTCTGCATCATGTTTCTGACCTCCAGGCCAAATCAATGCAGGTGCGCATCAGAATCTCTGTCACACTGCCAGCTATAGAGAGTCGGATGGCGCTCTCTCGTCTCAGGCGTTGCGGTCTTCGCTGAAAGCCCTGTCCAGGAAGGTGGACTCAATGGCTCATCAGGAGGAGAACGATACTGAAGATACCATAAGTAGGGAGGAGAGCGATTCGAAGGAGGCCGATGAGGAGCTCACAGCCAGGCGTAAGTAGCCATCTTATTGTCGTGGAGGAATGCCTCTTCCTTTTAGTCGATAGTCTGGAGGCTAAGGTGCGGTTCTTACAGAATCCAGCCAATGAGCACATCATGCATCCAGAGGACCGATTCGAGGTAGGCCTATAGCTCTGCGGCTCGCCCCCCCCAGCTGTGTCACAGTCGCTAACGAGAGTGAGTGAAGTCCAGGAAGAGAAGATAGGCCTCATAGAGAAGCAGTTGCGGACTATAGTCCAGCGAACGTCGGCGGTAATCTGTCTGTGTCCGGCTCGATCATAAGAGGAGTTCGCTGTGCTCATCATTCAGAATACCCTCCAGGCGAGTGTGAACGAGGCGATAGAGCAGTCGAAGAAGGCTGAAGGCAGCGCAGCCATCTTCACACCGCCCGGCTACGTCGCCATCGCAGGGCTATTGCTGGCCTTGGGAGCTATATGCATGGGGTAGCTCTGGGGACTAGGAATGCTTTGGTATTGGCTCGTTGTTGCTCGCCACTTACCCTATCAGATACGTGGGCTTTGAACGGTCGGACAAGCAGCTCCAGGACATCACGTACCTCAACGAGCAAGTCGCCGATGTCATACAGCGCATATGGCCCGAGGAAGAGGTGAGCGGCGACTGGTAGTACTAGCGGGTCTCTATCTTGACCTATCAGGAGGAGTATTATGGCGCTGATGGGGAGGAAGAAGAGGAGGAGGAGGATGCTGATCAGGCCAGGGGAGAGGCCGAACAGGTATGCTATTCTCATTGTCATGTGGTGGAGTTGCCCTCAGGCGTCTTATGATGCCTGAGCTATCGCTGCCGATGCAGCTCTCATTCGCCATGTAGATATGTCCCTATGCTTACATCGTTGTATTGCTGTCGTTGGGGTTGTGTTGATGCTGATGGCTGCCTTGCTGGTTACAGTTTTTTGGATTCATGAGTATCCCTAGGTCACGTGCGGAGCGGCAGCTGATGAAGAACCGTGATGCTGTTGAGAAGCAGCGGCTGCAGAACAGGACGGGAGGCTTTCACCGGTAGGTCTTCATCTACTTGCTGATGGTACTCGCATATGCGAGGTTGGCAGGTATGAGGCCTTCGATACCATCACAGGTGTTGTGGAGGGTTGCCCTGCCGAGGCTGGCCCCGTTGAGCGGTTCGTGACCACGAGTGATCTCGGACAGGACGTACGTGCAGCGACGTCGATGCATTCCCTTGTAGGATCTTTGTCAGCTGAATAGGGCTGAGCATGAGGCTGCTGTGAGACGCCGAGATGAATGTGCGGAGACTCTGCGTAAAGAAAGGTGAGTGTGAGGGACGATATCGGGTATTGAGGAGTAGATTGATCCGGGAGGCGGAGCGATGGGATGCAATAGAGAGAAATGAAGAAGAGGAGAAGGAAAGGCAAAGGAGACTACAGGTCGGAGGCCTTGCCGTGCTGCTCCTCAGACTCATCTCAGGAGGATTCCATACTAGGACGGAAGAATACATCCGGACAACCCTATGACATTGTCGGTCTCAGCTACCATGACACCGAGGTTAGTACACTTCCGTCTACTCCTCTTCTTCATACTTGTAGTAGGAGGGGCGACGGCTACGTTATCATGATGAGCTCATCAAATGGCGAGGAAAGCTTCGAGCGAATCATCTGGCCGCTCGGAATCATCTCGGGTGAGTTTCTTCTTGCTCTACCTTTCATTATCCTCGAGTCCCCGCCTATGAGTTCCGAGTCGAACTTTCTCGAGCTGTCAGCCTCGTTCGATAGCCATGAAAGAGGATCGATTCTACTGCGGAGCTCTCATGTGTCGTTCCTTGCTGGACAGTGTGAGGAAACTTCGGGAACATATTGGTATTTGCACACTTCTACCCGAATCCATATGTAACGTGTATAATTAGTGAGGAAACTCCTTAACTCAGCTGTGCGAAGCAAACATATATTCCAACACTGTGTCTGAGATAGTTGGCCATAATCATCAGTCGTGTCCTTACTTCATTAATGAGCCTCTGTCAGGTTCAACCCGATCACAGGGGAGTCTTCTCTCGAGCTACAGCATCCCCAGAAGCCCCAGCCTGACAGTACCAAGCCCGAGGAGAGTTCCAAGGACCCTTGCTCATGACCACAACATGCTATCACTTGTATACTAAAGTTGTGCCACTATCTTCTACGACTTGCGTTGCCTACGTGTTCCCTTATGCTACCGAACTCTGCCTGACTCACAGGAATCGCAGCCGTCCAAGGGAATGGTATACTAACGCCACCTTTTGCGGGTAGATCCTCTGTCGATCGATGACGAGGACCCAACACGTAAAATGTCCACACTTTTCACTCGCTCAACTGTAATGTTCACTCTAGTGACAGTACCATCGACAATATCATGGCCAGCCTCGCTGGACAAGAAGTCCCCTCAAGCAACAGCAATCAATAGAGGCGGAAGATGGAAGACCTGTTCTTGCTGCCTGCGATCGATCGACAGGAGATACCCGAAGCCCGACCATTCTGTAGCGTATATACTCGTGGAAACGTCTGTCGAGAGTGGATGAGCGCTAGGAGGGTATAAATCATGATGATGGAGTATCTCTGACCAGAGATTACCATCTGGTAGGTTCTCATTGAAGGCTGGGCACAGAAGCGGCATCTGTTGTGTGAAATCATGGCGGCAAAGCTCAGGGCAATTCCTAATCACCGAGCAGCTGTTATTTCACGAGCTTCATTAACGTGTCGGTTTCCATTCTTTGAGCTTGGTGCATAGTTACTGGTCAATAGCCGAGACGTGAATGGAATGCAGTAGAGAGCAGATTGATAGTTTTTCATGTTCTTCCATCTGGGGACCAAGCATGATGGATCGCGCATTGATATTTACCGAGACACTCCAGTACGGCTACTGGGATATGCCAACGAGCTGGGAGAGTCCTTCAAGTACCTTATCACAAGGCCTGTGTATCTCAGCACATACGGCATCGCCGTGGCATATGTATAACGTAGTGGTGGTTCTGGAGGGAATATACTCTCTTTGGTAGGTGCTTGCCGACACCTTGAACAAGACCAAGCGAACTGAGCAGAAGGCGCAGCAGTGGAAGGTCGCCGTCGACACATTGGGGTGGCAGATACTGGCTAGTGTGGCCGTTCCTGGTATGGTCATCAACAGGGTGGTGTGGGCCACGAGGAGAGTCATGCAGGAGAAGAAACTGACCAGTACCCTTTCCCGGCCTGGACTGACAACTTATGCGGGTGTGTTTAGATAAACTCCTACCAACGTACATAGGCTTGGCGTGTATACCTATGATAGTAAGCTGCTCTATGCAACAGATGAGATGATATTACATTCAGGTGTCCCCCATTGACAATGTGATTGATTGGATATTCGATCATACACTGCGGAAACAGAAAGACTGGCCTAAAGTTGAATCATAGCGATTGCTTTATCAATCACTCAGGGCCTGTTGCGTTAGTAGTATTTCCCATACCCGATAGATCTGCGGATGATAAAGGGTATTTATAAGACTCAACACAATATGTTCAGGAGAATACTCCAAAGTGCCGAGTTCTGGAAACGTCAACCAATCATCATCAACAACAACGCCGAGGCGACGAGCAGATCAATTGCGTAGTTCCCGTTACTCGGACTTCTTCAGCTGCTGGCAGCCCTTGAGAGCATATTTGGCGTTACGCAGGAACTTAGGGCACATACCGCGAGTGGACATCTTCTTGTAGGTAGGGGCCTGAGAGAACATGCATGTCGATGACGACCACACCTACAGCAGAGGGCTCCGGTCTACTCTACAGCCACGACGCGATTATTGAGCTAATTTGACAGCAACCCATCGTTGTACCTTCTTGATGCCGTTACGGTGAGCCTTCTTGTTCTGGTTATGATTGGTATGGTTCTTGGACTTGGCCATGGTGACTGATTCTCAGAGACTCGAACGGGTTAGAGCACACTGACGAGTCAAATCGATCAAGCTACCGTGTTGAGGAAGCGCAAGATTGCAAGGCTATGATTCTGTAATGAGGTATCTACTTTTCCTCGCCTCTGAATTACTTCGCTCGCTCGGCCCCCCTTTTCTAGCCTATGCGTCCCCAAATTACCTCTTTGCCTGAGACGCCTTCTAGTGTTTCGGCGGGAAGTGAAAAAGGCTATTCGAGACCCGCCGTGACTCTGGCTTCACGTCGATACCTTTGGGTTCTCCTATTTGTCTTGCGTTGCTGAGTTAGTAAGACGGCATGCCCTCCTACTCATGGTAGTAAGAGTGCATGCCTATCGTCCTTCGTCAATGTCCGTCGATCAGCACTGCACTGTGTTGATTCATCACCACGTCAATGCGGGTATAGTGCGGCTTTCGGTTCACTTACAGGCCGTTGTGGTGGAGCTCTTGGGGTAAGAGCATGTAGTAGGGCTTCCTCTGTCATGTCGCGGGGCAACTATGCCAGTACTCGCATGTCTCGGGGCAACTATGCCAGTACTTTCGCGGGGCAATTATGCCAGTACTCGCATGTCGCGGGGCAACTATGCCAGTACTTTCATGTCGCGGGCAATTATGCCAGTACTATCATGTCGCGGGGGCAATTATGCCAGTACTTTCATGTCGCGGGGCAACTATGCCAGTACTATCATGTCGCGGGGCAACTATGCCAGTACTATCATGTCGCGGGGCAACTATGCCAGTACTCGCATGCTCTCGAAGCTTGTCCCAAAATGGACTATGTAGATGTTTGAGAGGTGTAGTCGGCAGGCACCTTCGGCCTTGTCTGAAATGCTCTTGTGGTTGGTATTGAGTTGAGTGAGTTATGTAGATGTTCGAGCTAAGTCGGTCGGGAAGATATTAGGTGATCAATGATCACTGATCATAGAGTTCGTATCCAACTATGAAGTCCATCGTCCACATCCTGGCGTTAGAGTCTCGTTTCTTTGAGGCGCTACTTGAGAAAAGAGATGACTGTGAAGACTGTGGCGAAGGCGTCGTGCCCGGAGCGTTGATGTTCGTCTATATGCGGCTTTTGCCGGATAGGAAGCTCACACTAGACTGTCCTCGAGAGGAGGTTCTAGTGGACCCACCGCCATCTTACATCTTTGTGATGAATGAGGATCTCTATGGTGTGTATCCAACCCCTAATGCTGTCTATATTAGGAAGCCATTAGAACGTGGAGAAGAGGTCATGGTGCTACACCCAGGCTATCAGGGAACTAACACGGCTGTCCATCATTATCATGAGTCTCAACTATTCGTATTGTGTGAGGACAATAGCAGGATGATTCAATATGATCTAACCCAACAGACAAGTTCGACCCACTCCGTTCTGGGTCTCCCAGTGGACAACGACAACGCTGAGCTCGCCTGGGATAATCCACTCGTGTTCTTCATGTCCGGTGCCGGTCGCCTATTCTGCCTCGATATGCAGAGTGCTAAGGACGATACTCTGCAGGCCAAGCCTATCTGGAGCATCCCCAGCTCGTTGTCACACAAGGGCTCCTACAGTCTGTTTAAATGTTTGCCGGGAGAACCCGAAAAGCCCCATCTGATGGTAGTCTATACGGCTTATCTTGGCGAGGTCGTCACGTTCTACCTCGAGTTGAATACTCCCGACGAACCCCTCATCGAACACGGCAGCGAGGTCGAGAGTATGGGGATATCGCTCCCCCCGAGCATTGCCTTCATTATACCTTTCAATGTCGGTCTGTTCGGTTTTGCTATGAGAAGGTACGATCGAGATACTTACAGCCTATCCTTCACGAGCGACTCCCACAGAACGGACAGAACCCTAGACATTGGCAAGGATCTCCCAACCCGACAGAGTCTGCAGCTGGTCTATGGGGCGAAAGACGTCATTCATATTATGAGACAGGATCCTTCACTGGCTTATCCGACTCACGCAAGCTCGGATAAGGACGGTGATACTACCATTGATGAGGGAGGGAAGCGTCGATGTATCAATCAGACGCCGTGTTGGATTAGTACTCACTATATCTACATTTGAGCATATCATCGCCACTGTGCTGACAGGCTTGACCGTCTGTCCGACCATAAGCGGGATTCAGTAATGAATATCTAATTAATTTAAATATAATGAGCTTTGGTTCTCTGTGGATTTAATAGAGGGACTCTATGGAGCTCAATGAGATCCTCCTTTCCACGGGTTGTGATTTGTCCGTGCTTGATAGCTGTCCGCTTTACTTCAGCCCAACGGTGCTTTTCCTGGATGAGATCTCCTGCAGAAGTCCTGGCACTCGAGCTCCGAATGATGGAGACGATGCTGGAGAGGTCCGGGAAAATGGGGAATTTACCCGGGGTGGGAGAGGCTTACGCAGGATTCTTGGGCGCTCGGCCGTGTACATTGGACTGCCCTCGAGAGGAGATTTTACTGAGTCCTCCGCCATCATACATCTTTGTTATGAATGGGGAGCTGTATGGTGTGTATCCAACTCCTACCGCTGTTTATATTAGGAAGCCGTTAGAAAGTGGGGAGGACATGATGGTGCTGCATCCAGGCTATCAGAACACCACTACGGTTGTCCATTGTTATCGGAAATCACAGCTACTCGTATTGTGCGAGGAGAATCGAAAGCTGATTCAGTACGATCTTTCCGACGAGTCCGGTGACCAAAGGACGACCACCGAAGTACTAGGGCTGCCGAAAACCACCTCTCACAACCAAGGCGCATCACAACTCCTGCCTACCGACGACTTCGTCTTCCTCATTTTCCCCTCTGGTCATCTGTTCTGCATAGATCGTCTGGATATGCGCTATGCGGCTCAGGCGAAGCTCATCAGAACTGACTGTGCCAACGTGGGCGGCGCACGGAGTTTACTAACCGTCCAGGGCAACTCGAAAGCTGTTCAACTGGTCGTTTCGGGGTATCGTAGATGTCAGCTGGTCACATTGACGTTGAAACAAAGGAAGTATCCTTTGTATTTTGACCAGGCAACTCGGTCTTTTGACCCAACTGTAAAATTCGGGAAGGATATCGACGAGATAATGTCGATCCAGGACGTGGGTGATAACCACCTGTCTGTGATGACCCGGTCAGTGAGAGGCATTGGGGCGGGTCCCCGGCTGTACCTCTGCAACAGGTCTCTACGTCCTCTAGGCGGACCCCTCGGACTCCCAGATAGCTACCAACAGGTGCGCGATGTACAAGTGGTGGTTGGCGAGCATGATGTGGTCTACCTTTTCCGAGAAGAAAGTACCCTTGCTGAGAGCTACGTAGAGGCGGAGTCAGACTCAGAGTCGGCTCATAGGTCCGATGTCCAGGCTAAACATAAGGCAGACAACTCTGAGCCTCATAGGCTGGCAAAGCACTATGTCTACAGGTGCGCATCTGAAGCGACTGAATTCAATAATTAATTGGAATAACTGAGTATGGAATAAGACGATGCTACTAAGCTTGTACACTATTTCGTTTGCTATGTTCGGGCTCGTGTTGTGGAATCGCGGGTGAGTGTTATTGGGTGAAAAGTGTTATACAGTATAGAAAGGTGTCATTGGAGTGGCATTGCTATGGTCGGAGTGAATATGATCTTTCTATTGATAATGTCCCAAACGTCAGTATCTTTACACGTCCAATCGCCCCAGTTAGCGCGCGATCGGAACCTAGCTAACCGGAGCCAGCTATTCCACGCTGTGTATGCTCTCCTTCCTCGAGGGGACCGACAACATCCAATTCCGCCATCATCAGAGGGGGGGCAGTCGTCGGTAGCGTCAACCTTCCCGGAGGGGCGACTATGCCACCGCGCCAAAATAGCGTCAGTACCTTTCCTTCAGGAGGGGCGGCTATGCCACCATCCCAAGATATGCCTCAGTCCAATCAATTCCCCCAGGAGGGGCGGCTATGCCACCATCCCAAGATATGCCTCAGTCCAATCAATTCCCCCAGGAGGGGCGGCTATGCCACAACCTCAGGATATTCCTCGGTCCAACCAATTTCTTCAGGAGGGGCGGCTATGCCCAACCTCAGGATATGTCTCGGTCCAGCCAATTTCTCCAGGAGGGGCGGCTATGCCACAACCTCAGGATATTCCTCGGTCCAACCAATTTCTTCAGGAGGGGCGGCTATGCCACAACCTCAGGATATGTCTCGGTCCAGCCAATTTCTCCAGGAGGGGCGGCTATGCCACAACCTCAGGATATACCGCAAGCCAACACAGTGAGACGAACCCCCAACCTAGTTTCTACTATGCATTTCGTTCGCCCTCGCCGAAAACAATTCATCATGAAGCTTCTAGCGAGAAAGATCGTTTCTGCTAGCAGTCCTAGACGAACACAACGACACAGACGAGGGTGTGGGATAGCTACTGGATTGACTAGTAGTTTCACACTTCTAACATTCAGTTTTCCGTGGTGTCACTCGGAGTGACTTACTCCTCGATATGAGATTACCTTCTCACGCTATGGCTTTGGATCTATACCTGTTTGAGTCGATGATGCAGAAGTCTGCTGGAGGTAGCTCGTCCTTGCCTGAGATGATTAGCGAGTTCGCCCTCTATATTGGGAAGAGGGAGCTCAGCCTGGATTGTCCCCGAGAGCAGGTTCTAGTGTCCCCGTCGCCATCCTACATCTTCGTGATGGGTGACTCTCTCTGTGGTGTGTATCCCGGTCCTACCGGTGTACATATCAGGGAACCATTAAATCGTGGGGAGGAAGTTATGGTGTTATACCCAGGTTTTGAGGCTTCCACCAGAGCTGTCTATTATCATCACGGCTCACAACTATTCGTCCTGTGTGAGGACAACCGTAAGCTGATCCGATACGACCTGAGGAGCACCCCCGGACCCTCAAGTACATCAGTGAAGCTTCTAGGATTGCCCGAATCGAGGCTGATTAATAGTAATGATAAAGGCGCAGAGATGGTCTGCACGGACGACTTCGTCTTTTTCCTTTTCGGTTCCAAGTACCTCTTTTGCATAGATCGTCAAAATGTCAGCGATGGGGCTCAGGCGAAGTTGATTTGGACAGCGAGAGCAGGGGAGGCCAGGAAATGTCATATGCTGGTGGATCCTGAGCAACCTCTGCGTGTTCGGCTGGTAATTCCGGTGTTCCGGAGCTTGCCATCGAATTTGGTTACACTCGAGTTGCAAAATCGTCGTGAGCCTCTCTTCTTCAAGAAGGTAATGGAAAAGCACCTATCAATCCAGACAGCTTCAGCGAGTGCTGTTGGTGTATATGATGTGCTGCCTGTTGGGTGCTATAACTTGGCTGTTAGTAAGACGCCCTCTAACGGCTACCACAGAGTCGTTACTCTATGCGATCGGTCATTTCGAGCTCTTGGTCCGGATGCGACTTTATTCCGTTACGACACGTCCTATGAACCACGTCGCCAACAGTTGGTCTGCGGAGAACGAGATGTCATCTACAGCATGGAAGAAGGAGGCCAGTTTAGGTGTTCCTACGATCACTGTGAATGCGCAGGTGACCTTTCCGATGATGATGATGATGACGTCGAACTTGTAAGGAAAAAGAAGCGATGCAAGCGTGAAACTGGCACTCCGTGCTTGATTTCAGCTTATTACATCTCCAAAAAGTAGATTATTCCTAGCTTTTTATCTCTTATTAACAGCTACATAGTAATTGACTCTTCTAAGTTTCAATTGTTGCAATATCTTACGGGATGTGTTGTGTATGACTGACCGTTGTGCATTATGGGAAGCAACTGATAACCAAGATAGTGACCCGAGTACCCACCAACTGTAGCGTTGATAACAACTTCACACTCTCTGACTAGGTCGCCGAATTACTCGTTCGTTGGCGGAATCTATCACGTCCCCTGATCTTCCTCATTCTCTTGCGGACACTCATGCGTAATCCATGATACGCAGCACATCATATGGCGCATGCAAGACACTCATGCATCACCGCGTGATCCTGGCAACCCCAATACCTAGGTGCGCCCGATGGCTCGCCAGCGTTTTGTGCCATCACCCATACTGCTGCAGTTACGGACCTCCGCACTGCTATTTAGATCGGCATTGGCTGTGTTCTGCGGCGATGATCGGTTGAACCGATGAGATGCAGTTGAATAGGAGTCCGCTGCTCCCCACCCTCCTCACTCGGTCGGGTGTTCATCCTAATCCTAGGAATGCTCTCTTTGCCCCGTTTATCGGACGGAATGAGCTAACTCACATGTCATAATCTTGACGACGTTGTGTTACTGAGTCCCTCAGGGAGGGGATAACTAAGAATCGCAGTGTATGTAGAGTGTGTGATGGCTGCTGTCATCACTGACGGCCCAAGGGATGCAGACGACGATGATTGGCGAGATTTCCAAAAGGCACCATCGCATACTGGACACGGTTCGGGTGGTAGCCGAGCAATAACTCACCCCGAATGTAGATAGAGTTACTCACGATGTGCGTGACCCGGAACTGATAGAGATCCTGTTCGTAGATGTCGATTCAGCTGAACTTTCCGGGATGAGTGAAAGTGAACGAGAGAAAAGCACGGTTGACCAGGTGCAGATGGGCATCCATGCGGTAGACGGGTGGATTGCGACAGTGCTGTGTGAGTGCATTGCAAACATCAGGACGATGCAACGACGGCCATTGAAGCTCGAAGCCAACCTCAGGAGAAGGTCAGGAGCGCTGAGAATCTTCCGAGGCTGGAAGAACTGATAGAAAAAGCAGTAAATCGACGAGGACCTTGACGATGGTGGTGAATTGGCGGCCATCTCGGCTCAGATAGAGGACGTGGGGCCCACTCAGACGTCCTCTACTCCGCTCTCAGAGTCATCCCGAGCATCTTCCGCCGAGTCCGAGGATTCGCACGAGATGAGAGTACGCTAAGACGCCTCGACAGCGGAGTCACACGTGATACGGCTGTAGGCATGTGCACCTGTTCTTACCGATTTCGATCTGGAGGACCAAGAGGCCACTAAGATGCGAATCTACGTTCACTCTGAGTTAATGTCTGAGTAAGAGTGATTACGCTGGTCAGACCTGTGTGTCAGGCACGGCCGTCACGCAGTAGGCTGGTTCAGCGACATCTCTTCCCCAGCCGACGTACGTGAGTGTGTGCTTAGTGCCATAGACAGCATCATCGACGATGGTGCGAAGGTATTCAAGCTACGTTCCAGGAAGTCGGGTAGGTCATGACCACAAGATACACTATCAATCTTCGCCCCGCTAAGGTACCATCATCGACTTGAGTTCGGACGAAGATCTCGTTAGACTTAACAGAGGAGAGCATTATGACCTCTTAGTTGGCGAACGTCTTGCTGGCTTGATCCACGATAGTGCTGACGATGATCGAGCAAGTATGCACAGCTGCTATCGGCACTATGCTACGTCCTTGGCAGGCGATTCGAGGTGGCGGCGGCTAAGGGTCTGCATTGATTCCATGAAGCATGTCGAGACCGCCAAGGCTTTGGAGAGGTGCTCATGACGGAGGAACAGGATCCGCGTATTTGCCTGTCATCTCACACTATTACCGAATCAACGGAGGCGTGGTCGGATTGTCCTATCAGAATGTGCCATGGCACGAATCTCCTCAAACATACCGCCCATGGGCATCCACACTTGCGGCAATTCCAGCTATCGACTGACCATCAAAGGCTGCTCTGGTGAGTCTACTGCTGCCCTAGCTATCCTCTCTCCTTGCACGGGTTTCGGCAACTCGTTGATCCCTTATACATGTTACGTGTAACACATCAGGAGTTTTTATCTCAGGTACTCAGCAGGCCCCGATCGTAAGGAGTCCGTCATGGCTCTCTCTGATGTATGTGAACTCAGGCTCGGCCAACAGACCTCGACATTCCTCCAGTACCTTGCCCGAGGTTCCTTTCTCTCTCGCTCTCATCATCAGTCAGGTATCGACTACCAATGCTCCAGCATCTTTCTTTCTCTCTCATATACAAGCCGACCCATGGAGAGGTCACTGCACTGGACCTCACATGCAAGGACGAGTTTGAGTGGCGCTTCAGAAAGTCCCCGTTGCCTTCAATAACTCGCCTGTCAGATACGATACCTGGTTGACTGGTCTCAAAGCTCTCCTCTGTGCACAGTGCAACCGTACGAACATTGTCGCTGCTACACAACTTGGCGTGCTGATGGAAGATTCAGGTACCATATCGAAGGAACAACTATTGGCTCATTCGAGAAGGTTCAGAGAAGCCTTGAAGCAGGATAAAGCTGGGGTGAAGGTATCAGTATGAATGTTACCCCGATTGCCGATGTCACCGATTTAAGCTACTCGAACTAGAAGGAGTGAAGGAGCGTGGCACTGTCGGTCTGGACGACTGTGTGAAGATCTCCGAAAGTGATATAGTGGAGCCTTCTCGAACCTATCGCCACTCCAGGTTCCTCCCCTCGGCAGCTCCACGACAAACTTGAATGCTTAAGAGATCGTCTTGAACACATAACTATGGAATTAAAACTACTCCTAGAAAGTGAAGGTCTCGCATAGTACCGCATGAGGGCACTGCCAAACTCGTTGCCCTTCAGCAGCAGAATTTGCACACGCTTCGAAGGGGGAATCCTCAACACTTGGAATAGACTGGGCAATCGTTGCAGAGAAAGAGCCAGCGTAGTACTATCACACGGTCTGCTCGGCGTGGCCCTGACCGATGTAGTTACTCTTCGTTGCTATCGGATTTGACCGATGTTGAAGATGATGAGATGGAAGCCTCACGTGCCATGGAGCTAGCTGAGGGCGTAGTATCAGCCCTCCCTGTCTACAAGCATCGAGTTCTGTCCATAGGTGTCCGATATACTCGGTCGAGTGAGCACCGATCTACTCCTCTTGGAAGGTGAGCCATTCAATCACCTCTTTCTGTATAGTTGACTTACGACCTCCCATCATTGCTGAGCATTCCACGGATTCCATAATGCGGTATCATCATCTTAGATGAAGCAGACAACGAAGCTCTGGATTCGCATCAGACAGGCAATCGCGTAAAGCGTCTACGGGAGTTGGACCAACTGCTTTGGAAAGCCGAAGTCGATATCGAGAATGTTGAAGACATGTATTGGATGGACGTCTATTGCAATGCACATATGGCCACACGTTCCACCCATACTCTGGAATGTTTTCAGGCGTCAGCGGCTCTTGGAGGCGCGGAATAGGAACGCTGGTAGGACGCTCAGTCTTACCACGGTGAGATCATTTTCCCAGGCTCACTATTCGGCGCACTGCCCGCTCCTCTCGTTGCGGACATGCGATCGTCACTAAGTGTCATGAGTGCTCAAGCAGAGGAGAGCATATGTGACGGGGTAGAAGCTTTAAAGGGGTGAGTTTTGACCGACCCTTCGCACGAATCAAGCATGCAGACTGCTCGGGAATGGGAGAATCGATGAAAGAGTACAGCTGCCGCCAGGCCCCAATCATTGAGTAGTCTTGGACTCTTTATTTCATTCTCGATAGATCGATCGTGTTCTTGAGTCCTGGTGGCAGAAAACCAGTGTGTTAGCGAATCCAAGCGATTCGGTTGTCTAGAAGCAAGCGAACATCAGCAGAGTAGATGGTGTGACGCGAATCTGTGAAATGGTGCATGGAGGAGGATGTTCATTAGCCGTCCACAAATTTGGCCATAGACGACACGTCGAGACACGTCGGATTCGACGACGGTCGGCCATGGTGGGTTTCCCATGCTGTATACCGCTTCTCTCATCATCAGTGTCGGCCAACCGGCATTGCTGGCGAACTTTAGGTCGCCACAGCGCAGGGCGATACGCGGGCCAGCGTAGATTGGAAATCGCTTGGTAGCTTGCCATCATCTCGCAAGACTAGCAAGATAGCCCTTATCACTGCTCACAGCCCTGTGGCGACGAAAGTAGAGGTAGGTATCCGTAAATAGGACGAGTAGCTCGTGACGAAGTTGGTCTTAAAACCAGTTTCAACTCATAATGTGTTTCTGAACCACTGTTTCACACTCCATGTATGCATCCTTCTCACTAGTAAGTTCTGTACAGGGGAGGACTCCTCGCTCCTGCGTTATATCTACCCTACCCATTCTAGCACAGCATCGGCCTCGCTTCATTGTCTTACAGATCCCCAGGGACTGAACTCGAGAATATCGGAAATTAAGAGCCGTACGGCCTGAATACCGGAGAGAGAATAAATTGAAATATGGGAACAAAGGGAATAAATGAGTAATAAATGATTAATGACCCCGGAAGGGAGCTGGAGTTACACGACTAGCCAATGAGTGTAAATAATACGCAGTTATAGCAACTGATGCAGACGGTTTGCACTGAGCGGAATGACCACGCTCTCAGCTTACCAGGCTATCGACCTCACACTCCTGTTTTGCTCATGAGCTTGGCCGTAACTAAACGAATGTTCCCTCGGAATTCTGCCTCTTAGACATCGAGACTTCGAAATTTGCTGGCTGGAAGGACAACGTGGTTTTCATTTCGACTGAAGATATGCTGGATGTATGCTTGAAGTTATCGAAATGTCGTAATATCATAGCCAAGATGAGGATTGCTTCTCTCATTGCCAAATTCGAACCGGGACATCGTCGAGGTCCCGCACCGAAAGCCAATGAGCGTTCCTGAGCTCGGGCTCGGTCAAAACATCCATCAGAACTCAACCAACGTTCCGGACTAAGGAGGAGCTCATATTTAGTCATGGAGACGGCAAGGTTTGGATAGAGCTCACCTGTAGCAGGTACCTCCCTCAGCATCGCTCCTCATCTGCTTGCGTGTTAATGTCACAATCCAAGTTCCGATCGGTATCGTATGTCCACGTACTGACATCTCGGCTGTGGTCTCGTGAATGAGCAATGGAATTGGGGGTTGTAGCTGAGGAGCGGATAGAAAATTCGATGATGAGGAGATCCTACTCGCAAAGCCTCAAAAATGCAACTTTCCACGAAGGGTAGTCTCTCGAGGTCGTCGTCGGTTTCCGGATCGCGGCCTAGGGTGTCCACCTCGGCTCGAGCTCTCGCCTGGACATCAGGGTAGAGGCAGAAGTAATAGAGGCACCAAGCGAGAGTAGCCGATGTGGTCTCACTGCCGGCGAAGAAGAACCTTTGCCATGTATTGGTACAAGCACATCCGAAACCTCGCCCAGTTTACGTGACAAAATTGCCTTCAAGCTCGTGCTTTCCAAGATGGAGGAGCTTGCTGAGCAGATCATTTCGTCTTGATTGATCTCCTTCAGCCCTCCGCTGCTCGGCGAGATCATCTGCCAAGTCGTTCAAGCGTTGGATGCTTGCGTAGAACTGAGAGGGCGAAAAACCGATGGTCAATGTCATCCTGAGGTGCTGAAGAGCACTTTTCTTATGGTGGGATTCAAGTTCCATGGGAAATGGTTCCTAGTGATAGAAGGGCATAGTGCACTGAAATCCAGTACGTAAATAGCACCATCAATGAAGTTGAAGATCGACTCGGCAATCACCTTGGTGCCGGAGGGCAATGTTATACCTAAGAGGAGATATAACGTGATCATAATGACAATATAACTGTAGACAGCAAGCACAACTGTGACGAGTTGGACAACTAATTCCGACTCTGGCTGTGGCAAGTAGCTGTGGCAGTCAGCCTCGTCGAGGCCGGAGTCTCACCGTCGGGGTTGAGGAAGTAGAAATCCATACCGTATGCAGTGAGACATAGAATATCGAGCGAACACATCATGAACCATCTGGTCGGCTCCCACACAATTCTACCATCACAAGCTAAACCTTGCAGTTGCCGGACCTGGGTGCGATCTCATAGGACAGCGGAGCGATGGCGGACTCACTAGTCTCTTGCCGACGACAGCCATCGCCGGCACCGTCTGTGCGGTGCTCTTGTAATCCAACGCCGGGGCTGCAAGTCTTCTGTTGCGTCTCCACTCCTTCCCTTCCGAAGTGAGCACACCATATATGGGTAACAGCTTGTCCTTGTTGAAAGACCTCATGAGATTGTGGGGACGCTCTCTCAGAACTTCCCTAACCGACTGCGAATCCGCCAAGATGACCGCTTCGTTGCCCATAATTCTGTAATGGGTATTCTTGGTGACCACCGACTTTGGGTTGAACGGATCACCTTATTGCGAACGCATCGCCATACGTATCGGCCAGGACCTCGAGTCCGTAGAGGAACTGCTCAGATGACTTCGGAACGAATCCCAAGTAGGGGATACGCTGAAAGGAGGCATTCCACGATCATGAGAGGCTTCCGATTGGAACAACATTAAGGATATCCATAATGGCAATAGCCGCGGTCGGAGCCGAGAGGACAGCTACACTCACCCCAGTAGTTCCACCCAGCTTGTCGACGAGCGATACTCGACGTCTGCGTCGCTTGATGGCCCGATAGGAGCATATGGCGGCTACCACAGCTATCCCAGAGGCAGTGACGCCGATAGAGCGGCGATGGTTGACCCATAATGCAGCAGCCTTATTGGGGAGTTCGCGAAGGATATCAACAATCGAGTCCATGACTGCAGTTCAGAGGCGGTTGCAGAAGGAATAACAGACGTAGGAATCGTGCGCGCTTGGCGAGTGAGGCAGATCGCCGATTGGGAATCGAGTCGGCGTGACGCCGTCGTGAAAAAGACGCGTGGCTCATTCCGTGAACTTGGGTGGATGTAGTGATCAGAGCGTCGCTTGTTACGTCAGTTGTGAGACATTTACGCTAATAGACAAGGTCAATTGCAGTCGCCGAAATGACGGTTCCTTACCGATCCTGTGAAAGATTATTGGCGACCTTTATGGTGGCGTTCATGGGCCGCCGCGTTGGTATTCGACACATAGCTATAGTGACGCTCAGACGATTCGGCTCATTTCTCACCTGGCTTCCCTCGATAGTAGTTTTGCCTCGGCCTGCGGCTGTGAACTTCATTCTCATTATCCGTGTACACATTGAGCGCTACGCTCTCTCAAGTATGGTTGAAACTGAAATCCTGTAACCAGAGATTGGTCTAGAAATGTGTGAATCCGCATGTTGATGCGTGCGTATGGCGCGTGCTAAAGTATCGTCCGAGCAGTTTTACGGGAGATAGGAGATTGATTCGATGACGCGGGTTCTAAGATCTTCGCCTATTAGTGGTACAGTAATGCTGCATTACCATGAAACACGTCATGCCCATGCATTACTAATGCATGGGCATGACGTGTTCCATGGTTACCATGGAACACACCATGGCATGGTATATGCGAACTCACGCTCTGGTGTAATGAATTTTATATTTTCGTTTTTTTTTATTTTTGAGCGAGAGAGAGAGAGCTCCATTAACCTAGAGCATCCATCTCATGCTGGAGACTCCAACGCTCCACCCTTGAATGTTGTAGATGACCTGTGTTCGATACATGGCTCAAGTGTTATAACTCTGTTGGTGTTGACAACACCGTGTTGTTCAGTTCATACTGATCGGGTTTGTAATGTGGAAAATGATGTATGAGGAGGTGGTAATATATAGGCAGTGATACACGGAAGATAATATGCTAGTAGCATAATGCTACACAAACACACTCCATTGACATCGTGTGATACATCGTTACTGAATATTCTCGAGAAGTTTGAGTTACACAATTCTCGTAACGGATTCTACACTTGTGCGGTTGTCAACCGCAACCGGTTCAATTCAACCGCCGGTTGAATTGAACCCCATATTGCGGTTTCGTTCGAGCCGGATGGCTCGCAGAGACCGCCTTCTTTCCCCCTCACTAAAACAACTTTTGGCGGATAGATCCGCGACTCACGGGCCGCGAACATTCGTCATTGGAAACTTTTCTGCCACATGCTAGCTAACGAACTCTCTGAAGAGGTTTAAAATAGTGTATGTGATGGGACATACCGTATGTGAGTTGATCACTGAGGAGTAACTGAAATTTCCCGACTGAGGCCGATTCCCTCACTTTTTTGGCAGCAGGTCCAGCAGGTCCCTCACTTTTTCGGACCTCGGCTCACGCCTTTTGTCGGAATCGTCTCCGGTCCTGGCTCACGAGCCGCGGGTTACAGTTCGGCGGTTCGGTCGGGCCCTGTGCTGCGCTCAGCCGAGTATCGTGGTTGCAGGGAATGTGCATAGTGAAAACAGTACGCCACATCTCTCGACGAACGGCACACGTCTAACCATTATCGTCAGACACCAGTCATATTCATCAGCGCTTGCACGCATGCGCATAGCAAGTGTCCGTGCCATAATTGGGGGTCAACATCAGGGTGGATGAGGTGGCGCGCCGTTAACTTAACGTGTCATTTGTGTCTCGGCTTTTGTCAGAACCCGGCGCTCATCAATATAGAACCGAGCTCTCTGGCGTCGTTCATTTCTCGACTTCTATAGTTCTGGAGAGGCCTGGGGAGGCTTCGCCTTCTGACTCTCCCACCGTGGCTGAGAATTCCGGCTAGAAGTTCCAGCCTGGAACTCCCCACTGGGGAGTTCTCGCCTGCCCCACAAGCGAGGATCGCTAATCTATGCATCATGAAGCTCATCCACAGACCCCAACCGCATGCGCCCTGTCCCGCCCCAGCACAGGAGTGGGGGCAGAAGCGAGCACTGCTATATTTATCCGGGATCCGGGTGAGTATAATTCCCCGATCAGACGATGACTCAGCATCCTATGCTATCGAGTAGGATGGTTGGTGCACGGGCGGGCATCCAAGAAGCTGTGCAGTTGAGAATTGGCTCGCTGCCTACCTTTTTCCGATGCTCACCACATCCAGGAGACGATACACTTGATGTGGGCAGCCCACAGTGGGCCATCGGATGGTCAGCAACTGGTGGCATCTATTGAGGATAGTCACCATCATCAATAGTTGAGCTCCGCGCGAGAATCACATCACGAACCAGACGATTCACTCAAGACGGGGAGAACAATGCCCGAATTATTCCCAAGCACACGACCAACTGATCTTCAGTATCGACCCAAGAACTCCTGGGCGACAAAAAGAAAGCCTTCCGACAGCCATGGGGGGAGGGGGGAAGATGACCATGGTCCGACCTCATCGCAGCGAAGTTTGCGTTTGTTCATACTCGCTCGCCGTTATTCGAGCGACTCCATCAATTCCAGTAATCCCCGTTTGCGCTGAATGGATTTCCTAGACGAAATTACCATTCCTTGGTGCTACTCGTTTCAGTTTACCTTGTAAATCCGGAATATGAGGAACCTCAGCAAAGTCTTCATATTCTGCATGGTTGATATAGCCTACGGTAGCGTATCAGAACCAGAACTTCGACCTATGCAATGGCTCTACGGAGCGACTGTCACCAACAAGAACCGCTATTATATCGAGCCGTTCCGCAGGCCAGTTCTGCATGAAATGAGCGATTTTAAGATAGGGGTAGCTAATGGGGTAAAATGCGAACCCTTGAAGCAGCTGAGCAGCGAGCCCGAGAGTACCCCGATCGTTGGGGGGCGGTTTGTTTATGCAATGAAGGAACGGATAATACGCAAAGAAACTACCGCGCGACGATCAACGCCCAAGACTTTAGCAAGAAGTGCTTCTCCTCAATCGATCCGCCTCGATCAGCCGTCCTGACTGAACTGAACGAGATCTGCGAATCGTGGGGGTTCAAAATCCTTACCACTTCTGATGCCTCGCAGATCGAGGATGGTACATACTCGGGCAAGCAACAATACGGCAAAAGCCTGAAGACTAATGTGACAGGCGGACGAATTAATGACTTAACGTCGGGAAATCATGCGAACGTGAATAAAGAAATACACAAGTTGTCATATTTCGGAGTTGGCCACGTCATATCGGTGACGTACCACGACCAAAGAGATGAATCTAATCTCAAGGATCATACCCTCATCTTGGAGCCGGAATCAAGGCATCTATTTCTGGAATCCTATGAAATCACGAGAAAAAATCTGCATACCTGGGATAGTGACGGTTCTGATAGGTATGATGATGACGACGACGACGAAGAAGCTGGCCGTTTGAGGAGTGGACGAGGCTGGTGGAAAGGCCTCCGTGAGTCTTTCCAGAAGAAGAAGAAAGTACTTCAGAAGGTCTTACACCCATACAAAAAGTTCTAGTTCGGCTAGGGATCCTTCCCGTGTGATGTGATTTGAAAATGTTGTGATGTGACTTGAAGGTGTTGTGATGTGATGCATAATCTTCGGAGTTCATAGTACTCCACACATGACG